CCAGGCGTCCCTGATCTTTTGGGTTTATATGGAGGCTTCATTGCGCAGGCATGATTTATTAAATCATTGACCATTGGTGGTTAATTTCGGCTCCAGCCCCCTCCCCTCCCTGGAGGTTAGGGGTGGGGATGAAAATTCTAACCCTCTAATCCCGTGGTTGGTTCTCTTGGCAACCAGCTTCCATTCTTTTTTTTTTTTTTTAAAGATTTTATTTATTTATTTGAGAGAGAGAGCACATGAGAGGGGGGAGGGTCAGAGGGAGAAGCAGGCTCCTCGCTGAGCAGGGATCCCGATGTGGGACTCGATCCAGGGACTCCAGGATCATGACCTGAGCCGAAGGCAGTCGCTTAACCAACTGAGCCACCCAGGCGCCCCCAGCTTCCATTCTTAGGGGTTTTCCAAAAGTCACGTCATTAACACAGAGTCAAGTGTGGTTGAAAGAGGCTTGATGAGTAACGAAAGATCCCTTTACCACCTAGGAAATTCCAAGTGTTGTTGGAGCTCTGGACCAGGAGGGCCAAATGTATACTTCTTATAAATTGAATTTCACATAGGTCAAACCGTGTGTGTAAAAGCACCTCTTGGAAATTTTAACCGGAAATGTACTGATACAGTTACATGGGGAGGGGAGAGTTTTTCTTTGGATGTGTGCAGCTTTCTAGGACTGTTCAAGCCTCCTGATCCTTAGATTGTACTTGGAGAAAATGGGGGCATTCAACCCTAGGTGGGCATGTCCTGAATCAGACCCATCTCCCCCAAAACATACTTTGCACCCAACAGAAGGGTGAGGTGGGGGCCTTCAAGAGTGCTTACAGTGCTGGATGTGTGTCATCTGAACTGTGTGTGTTGCAGGAGGAGGCTTACAGGGCTGGATTCAGTCATCCAGACTCTGGGTCACAGCGTTCTGAGGAGAATGGGGGGAATTGTGTCCAAGAGCAGGTGACATGCATTCTGGTTTTTTTGAGAAGCGGACCTCTGTAGGTGGTCCACCTATGTCAGCCTGTCTCATTGCTTTCTTCCTTCCTTTGCCCCATTTACTGGCATGGAAAGGTGATTATTATCTGAGAGGAAAGAAAGATTTGCTAGTGGGCTCAGGTTTGGAGCCAGCAAGGTGAAATTTGAAGAATTTTACATGTATCTGAAGCTACTTCTCAGTGGTATCTGTTGTTTTCCCTAGGAAGGTGAGTTATGCAGGGCAGAACATTTGGGGGCATCAGAAGCATGAGTGTACAAAGGGCCAGTTTTGTAGAAGTAATGCCCCCTGGGTCCTGCCTGGCATGTATGTACCAATCGCTGGTGATTTTAAGAAATTGTTTTAAGGAATGTCTGGGGTTGGTCTGGTCTGGCAGCTTCTACCACTCTAACCTGCACCCTGACCTGAGACGGGCACAGCAGGCTTTTCTCCTACCTTTCAGGACGGGCTGCTGTTATGTTTCAGCTCTGCCCAGCCTCTTCCTTTCCTGCTCCCTGTTTCCCTCCAGAAGGCACCAGTATTAGAAAAAGTGTATGTTGGGAGGCATTTTTCTCTTCTCTGAATCCTCTTTCTCTGGGAGGTTGTAATTACTGTTTTCTGAGGTCAGACTTTGTTTTCTCTTAGGAACCAGTGAGCCGAAGGATGCTGGGCCTGGAGCAGATAGAGGCAAGAGAGGAGGAAAGCAGAGTGACTTTGCCTGGTGGAGACGGATGCAGAAGGTTTGTGGGCATCTGAGGACTACACCCAGACAGCCTGTCCCTTCTCCAAGGAAGCACTGTCATGCTCAGGCTTTGTGTCCTCCCGCTTGTTCTGGAGCAAGCTGACACAGAGATTCTTTTTTTTTTTTTTTTTTTAAGATTTAATTAAATTAAATTAATTAATTTATTTGACAGAGAGCACAAGTAGGCAGAGCGGCAGGCAGGGGAGAGGGAGAAGGAGGCTCCCCGCTGAGCAGGGAGCCCGATGCGGGGCCTGATCCCAGGATCCCGGGATTATGATCTGAGCCGAAGGCAGACGCTTAACTGATTGAGACCCCAGGTGCCCCTCCATCTGAATTTTAAAAGACCCAGATATTACCATACGGTTTCACTCATATGTGGAACATAAGGAATAGTGCGGAGGACCACAGGGGAAGGGAGGGAAACCTGAATGGGAACAATCAGAGAGGGGCACAAACCAGGAGAGACTGGACTCGGAGAAACAAAGGGAGAGTTACAGAGGGGAGGGGGGTGGGGGGACTGGGTAGCCGGGTGATGGGCATTAAGGAGGGTACGTGTGGTGATGAGCACTGCGTGTTATATGCAGATAATGAATTGTTGAACACTACATCAAAAACTAATGACGTACTATAGGCTGGCTAACTGAACATAAAACAAACAAATAGATAAAAGCCCCAGAGAAGAGATAACCGCAGAAATGCTCACTCTTTCTGGGTGTTCTGCTTCTCCTGGGTGGTCTGGTGAACTGCTGCTTTCGTGGTGTTCACGCATTCCACACAGATGTCTTTCCTCCCGGGGACCGGCTCTGGCTTTACTGCGCACAGAGGGGGCATGGTGAGTGTGAGGAGGGGGTGTTTGGATGATGTCCTTCATGATGTCTGAAGGAGGAAGTCACTGTTTGATGAAGGAACCACCCTCATTTAACTGTAAAATGTGTTCTCTTCTCCCACAGCGGGAGTTCCCTTGGGCTGACAAGGATTGTTGCAGTCTGGCTGTTTTGGGGGCAGGTGTTTCCATGGGATTTTTCTACGTCTGGATTCTGGGAAGGAAATCACCTGGAAGCACTTCGTGCAGTGTTCCCTGGCGAGCGGTCTGGTGAGGGGAATTTGTAATCTGTTTACCCGGGTGCTCATGCATGTGCTCTGCAGGCCCTGACCCTGAGCAGTCCCGGCCTTGGGGTTCGGACAAGACACACTTTGACTTTCTCCAGGAACTACCTCACTGAACACTCTCATGCCCACTTTCTTCCTGGAAGGATGTCCCTTTCACATCGTGGCCTGACTTCATTGTTCCTTAGCTTTCAAGGGGAGTTCTGCCCTGCCGGCTGACCCTGAGCAGGGTGGGCCCGACTGTCAACTCCAGGCTCTGTGCTTGTCCTCCGGAGTGCCGAGCTTGGGTGAAGTGCTCCTCAGGCTTGAGTGTAAACTTAGAGAGGAGCGGAGGACTTGCTCCCCCTTTGCCCGTGACCCTAAACAGCACACTGTTACGATCTGGACTTCTTCTGTGTGATGATGTTTGTAGGAAACCGTGGTCTCCCACCAGGCTCTATGGCTGAGGCCTTTGTTATCTGCCCACATGTCTGTCCTCAGGCCCTTGCTCCCTACAGGGGAGGGGAATGGCAGCCGTCACCCCTGTCTCCCAAGGGCCTGCCTCCTGCAGGAGAGGAGGGGTGAGACGGGTCTTCCTGTGTCTGCATTCTGGACAGATTCCAGAGTTCCCTCGAGGTCTGGCATGGCTGACAGTGAAATGCTTGTTCTAAGGACAGCCTGGAGTACTGAAGGGTGGAGTGTTCCCTCCCCGGCTCACCTCGCGCAGCCCTGTGCTCAGTCCCTCTGGTACACAGTGGTGGCAGCCTCTTACCGGCTCACACCAAGCACCTGATCCTGTGCACTTAGACGAACTTGCATGTGGGCTGGAGAAGTCCAGCATGGGAGTGCTGCACTGTCTCCCGGCCCCTCCTGAGTTGTTGTGAGATCACCTGATGACATTTTAGCATGTCCCAGAAATAAGTAAACTTCAGTGCAGGCATCCATGAGCCCTTGAGGCATTTTGAAGCCCATGATCTGGAACAGATAGCCTTTTGTTAAGGGCTTATTTGGGAATAAAAAACTACAATATCCTGAAACTTAAGCAGCAGTCTTTGATTTAAAATAGCTTTGCTGTTTTTCCTAATTATAGTGTATTTCATGCCTATGGCAAGAAATACTTGGGAAATAAATGAAAATATAAAGAAGGAACTCACCATCCTGCACTAAGCAAGGTTGAGCATTTATTCTGACCCTCCCTGCCTGTTTTATACCCTACATCTCTGGCTTCTCCATGTTGAACTGTGCACCCAGGTGATAGTGTACTGTGTTGGAGAAAGTAAGACAGGTCCCCTGGGCAGTGATCCAGACAAGAGATTAGAGCGTGATGGGGGCTGTGAGGTTGCCCCCAGCTCTTGTCTCATTAATGTGAGAGTTGTTGGGGTCTTGCCGTCTGGTGACTGTGTTGCTGAAGAGAAGCTGGGGTGTTCAGTTTCTTTGAGGACTTTCTTTAACGAGTATCAGGCTGTCTTATGGGACTGTTGAGCTTTGTGGGGCAGTCATGAGATTCCACAGTTGGGAACACGTCCTCATCACACAACCCTGAGCCTTTATTTACTTTCCAGAAGGAGCTGCGTTGTTGTGGTTTGAGATGCTTTTGAGAGCAAGTGAATAGCAAAATGAAACGGAGACACCCCTGAACTGTGTTTTTGAAGAGCTTCCCAGAGGGGCATGTCCAATTGCAGATGGCTGGGTATAGCTTGTGGGCCTTTGGGACTACATTTTCATTCTCCCTGGTACTGTTTTCTTGTGGTGCCTGCAGCTGGGTGGACAGAAGCTTCCTGAATCAGCTCTGGATCTAAGACTGCACTGTAGTTAGTGTAAGACTGTTGTTTGCATGCCTTTGGATTTTTTTTTAAAAAGATCTTATTTATTTGAGAGAGAGATCAAGAGAGGAAGGGAGGGAGAAAGAGCATGAGCGGGGGAGGTGGGGCGAGGGAGAAACAGATTCCCTGCTGAGCAGGAAGCCCAACGTGGGGCTCTATCCCAGGACTCTGGGATCGTGACCTGAGATGAAGGCAGACGCTTCACTGACTGAGCCACCCAGGCATCCCTAGGTTTTGCCCCTTTTTATTTTTATTTTATTTTATTTATTTATTTATTTATTTATTTATTTATTTATTTTTAAAGATTTTATTTATTTCACAGAGACAGAGACAGCGAAAGCAGGAACACAAGCAGGGGGAGTGGGAGAGGGAGAAGCAGGCTTCCCATTGAGCAGGGAGCCCGATGTGGGACTCGATCCCAGGACTCTGGGATCATGACCTGAGCCGAAGGCAGCTGCTTAACGACTGAGGCGCCCAGGCGCCCAGTTTTGCCCCTTTTTAAAGGAAACTGCTCCCTTGTATAGCAAAACCGGAGTTCAAAGCAGTCTGCTCTTCACAGCCTTTCTCCCAAGGGAACTGACAAATGGTTTTCTTAGATCTTGTAGCTCTTTCTTGTGAAGCCTGGTGCCTGCCCTTCTCTTAGTGTGCATCCTCCTCTGTGCTGGGAGGAGGGCCTGATGGGGGCTGTGCGTGTCGGGCGCCGAGGGGACCTCTTCAGTGCTGGGGAGACAACTGCCAGGATCTTGAAGAATGGTGTGGACGTGTGATTTTTGGATGTAGCTGGGTGTGAAGAGGCCAAGTTGGAGATTATGGAGTTTGTGAATTTCCTGAAGACTCCCAAGCAGTGTCAGGGCTTAGGAGCCAAAATTCCAAAGGTGTTGATTCCAGAGAATGTGATAGTGCCCTGAGCTTCCGGTCAGAGTCAGACCTCACCGTGGTCCAGTGTGGACAGACACGGGACCACTTAGCTTTCTGTAGAGATTGTGTGTAATCACGGGAAGCAGCATTTGCCAGGGCAGAATGGTGACGATCCTCTTACCTGGTTGAAACCACAGTGAGTTTACTTTTTTGAACCGTGAGACTGTAGAGTCCTGGGAACAGTACGGACCCATGTTGAGAGGTATGTTCGTGTTCACTGAAAGCACAAGCTTATGCCCTTGAGTGGTCTTCCATTTCGAGGCTGGTCCTTCCTTCCAGTTGGTTCCAGTGATGGGGATCTTCTGTTTGTTAAATGTCCTGCATAAACATGTTGTGTACAGTTTTGTTCCTCTAAATGAAGTGAGAACTTAGAAGCAAAGCAAACTGAATGTAGAACCTTCTATATTTTTATGAGTTTTTCTTACTCTTAGAGTTTTCTCACTCAGTTTGACAGTTTTGGTTTTTTTTTTTTAGCAATTTGCCTTTATTGCTTTATTATCCAAAGCCTTCACCTTAGTTTTTGAAGAAGCAACCTTTTTTTTTCAATTCTTGTTTTATTAGTTTACATAATGTTAAATTACATAATTAAAACAGCAAATACAACTTGCGTAAAAAGGTTTGGGGTCAGATACAACTGCCCCGTGGTAAGCCCTTGACCATGCTGTGGACGGCAGTGTGGTGTGGGTGGGGGTCAGGGTGTGGTATAGCGGAAGCAGAGCTGGGTGATTCTGGCGGCTGGGTCTGCCTCCTGGTGCCTTTTTGTGCCATGGACCCTTTGGAGGCCTGACAAACTGGGAGTCCTTTTCCCAGAAGGATTTGCACCTTACTGGAAATCGACTCACAAATCCGTTGGTCGTCCCTGGACTGTGGACCAGGCGAAGAGCTCCTAGTGTAGACTGTGACCCTTGCAGGAGCTCTTGCTTTCTTCAGCTCCTCCCCACAGGGTGGTCGCCCCTGGACAGTTTGTTCTGAACACCAGGAACAGCTGTGGACCACTGTGAGCCTGGGGACTGGAGGTTGGGTGGTGCCGTTTCTGGTCTGTAGTCTGGCGAGTGTTAGCAAGCGTGTGTGCAGCAGAGGTACAGCCCCGCCCCAGCCCTGCTGCTGTTCACCTGGCTTTCCCTTGCAGGAGGTCCAGCTGCGTGTGTGTTCGGAGGAAAGTGGGCGGGGCGGGCAGGTCACCAGGATGCGACCCCCCAGCTGGGCGGGGGCTGGGCGGGTGGGGGGGTGTCTGTCATTCTGTGTGGTGCTGAGGATGTCAGGGCCCACATGGCTTTTCAGCTCCTCCTGGGTGTGAAGTTCAGTGACTTCCTAAAACGACCCACAGTAGATATGAGCACATGTGCTTCCTCTTCTAGAAGAATCGGCTGTGCGTGTGGTTCCACGACGGGTGGAGATGGATCACAGTGGACTGTGAATCCCTAATCCACGTTCATGGGGACATGGGGTCCAACACCTTGTTGTGGGTTTGAGTTCCGTGACTCCCTCTCCCCTACCTTTTTGTGAGTATTTTGTTTTTGTTCTTTAAAGACTTAAAAAAATCCTTATGGTCCCCTTTGAGGTAATCAGATACTAACCTGCGCCCTTGACTAGAGATGGAGCAATAGAAGCTCCCTGCTTTAAATCTCTTTTCAGTTTTCAGGCATAATGGTAATCCCTAAAATGAACACCGAGGTGTGTTACCAGAGTGTGAGTTGGTGATTTTAAATCTTAAGTCAGGGGCGCCTGGGTGGCTCAGTCGTTAGGCGTCTGCCTTCGGCTCAGGTCATGATCCCAGGGTCCTGGGATCGAGCCCCGAATCGGGCTCCCTGCCCAGTGGGAAGCGTGCTTCTCCCTCTCTCACTCCCCCTGCTTGTGTTCCCTCTCTCGCTGTGTGTCCCTCTGTCAAATAAATAAAGTCTTAAAAAAAAAACAACGGCACCTTAAGTCGGCATAGGAAAAGGCAGGTCACAGAGAGGTCCACAGATGGGCCGGGCAGTGGCTGAAGTGCATGAGTCAGCGTTTCTGTTGTTGAGACCAGCTAGCTGTGAAGCTGGAGAGACTCGCTGTGGCCTCAGATCTGAGGGGTTGGGCTCTTGTTCTTCCTGGTGGGAGTGGGAAACGGTGTCACTCTTTTGTAGAGCAGTTTGACAGCAACTTAAAATAAACATTCAGACCCTTTGATCCAGCAAGCCCTGCCCCTGGGAGCTTTTGTGAAGAAATAACCTGCTTAGCTGGATGAGCTTTCATGTATCTGTAGTGTTTGAACTTTTTATGGTGAGCATGCATTAATTTTCTAAGCAGAAAATATTAAAAGGAAAATCTCAGACTATGAGTGGTGCATCATCTTGGTAGTGATGCCTAGAAGTCACCTTTTTAAATAGAAAATGGGACTCTCTTTGGGTTCCATCTGTCCCCTTGAAGAACCAGGCATCACCTTTCTGTTTCAGGGAGCCATGCTCACTGCTCCTCCTGGTACTGGCAAAACGCTTCTTGCCAAAGTGACTGCAGGGGAGGCCAGTGTGCCTTCATCACTGTGAATGGGTCAGAGTTTCTGGAAATGTTTGTCAGCGTTGGGCCAGCAAGGGTAGGTGGATGCTTGTCCTTGAGTCGGACAGCCCCAGGTTTTGTGTGGACCCCTGGCAGTAAGCACAGAGCTTGCCACGGATACCAGATAAGGGTAGGGTTCCAGAGGAGAGACTTGGGTTAACAAACACTCATTTTTGTTTTCATACCAGTAGCAAAACCAACTCTCTATGTGGATTCCTATTTCAGGTTCATGACATGTTTGCAGTGGCTCGAAAAAACTCTCCTTGTGTCTTATTTATTGATGAGATTGATGCAGTTGGCAGGAAGCGAGGCCCAGGGCACTTTGGAGGCCAGAGCGAGCAGGAGAACACACTGAACCAGATGCTTGTGGAGATGGGTGGTGAGCGGATGCTCACCAGTGACAGCTGCTGAGAGCAGGCCTGTCCAGTCAGCACCACCAGACACCACATGACCCTCCTTCAGCTTTTGTTTCTGGAAACTCCTCGGCGAGAATCCCTGATGATTAGGTTTTTAGGAAGGCTGCTTTCCAGCAGACTTAATGGAGAAAGCTATGTTAGATCAACATCGGCCCCCAGGAGTCGCCGATAGGATGAGGGGCCAGTGCACCCGCCGGTGCCCCACCAGCAGGAGGGGTTAGCAGGGATGCGGGGTGAAGGCCCCCTGGGGAGGTGAACGGGCTAGATGGGGACTCCCCTGCCCCTCCTCACATAGGCTTTGGGGCCCAAGGATGGTGTGGATGGAGCCTCTGCTGCTTCCTCTGAGCCTCTCTCCTGCCGCCTTCGCTGACCCAGAATCTCACAGGTGCACAGGCCCGCCTCGTGGACAGAAATATCTTTCCTCCCAAGTGATTCCAACGAGGGTGTCTGGTAGCTTGTCAGGCCTGCTGAGGCGTCACTGGAAGCGTCTGGGTGTTGACGCCACTCTTCAGATTTGGAGAAGCTTTCATTGGGCCTGTGGCAAGTTTTGACCTTCATTTTGGGATTGCCAGGAGTACCCTGGGTTTGGTGATTTACTAGGAGGACTCCCAGGACCTCATGTGTGGTCGTACCTATGACTGTGCTGATGACAGACACAGGACAAGATCTGCGCAGGGAAGGGCACAGCCCAGGGAAGGCGGCTGCAGCCTCCCTGAGGAGGGGCAGGAGGTGCTGATTTCCCTGGCCTGGAGCTGTGACGACACATGGCATTGTGGCTGACCAGGATTTTCAGTAGGGGTTGGTCACGTGGCATCTGTGCCCGGTATGTACCAACATCCCAGCCTCCCAGGAGGAAGGCAGGTGCTCAGCATAAACCACTGTTCGCACAAACAGTTTAGGCATAGGGGGAGCCCCTCCCCAACCTCAGGTCCCAGAGTCAGCTGAGGGCTGCCTTGTAAGCAGATCTTGGGGGGATGAACAGTTAGACCTGCTGTGTTATTTTCTTTCTGCACAGACCAAAGCATTTCCAGAATCTTCCATCATACTTAGCGTCCAGCAGTCATTCTCATTAGATTATGAATCTGTTCTGATGTCTCAGAGGACTGATGGGAGAAAACATTCAGGGGGAAAGCGGGGGAAGCACCAGCATTTCCTCCGTTGGGCATCCCTGTTCTCCACAGCCCGGCCCGCCCTGGACCAGTCCAGCTCCCTGGGCCCTGGGAGTCCAGCAGGGCCGGCTGGATGGAGACCTCGGCAGGTGGCTGGGGCACTGACGCAGTTGGCCCTTTCCATTTGTGAGAAAGTGTCCATCCTGTGTGGACTTCCCCTGCTGCCCAGGGCGGTCCTTGTCTTGCTCACCGTCGGGTCCCAGCGCTGGGAACGGGTTTGATGTTGGTCAAAGGCAGCACAGTCAGGAAGGTGTTTTACTGCATTCAAGAGCTGAGTGTACGTGAGCTTTGGGATATTTGTGTCATTGCCGCCTGGTCGAATAACAGTGTGAAGCATGGACACAGTAGGGATGCTGCCCGGAGCCCCAGGCTGTCCTTGCAAAGTGGTTGCAGGTGACCCTGCCATGTCTTCGTGTCTCTCTCTCTGTTAGGCGCCCCTGACGTCACAGGCAGGTCCTCCGTCTTCAGGGTCCACCTGCGCCCACTGAAGCTGGACAGGAGCCTATATAAGGATGCCCTGGCAAGAAAGCTCATGATGCTCACTTTGGGCTTCACGGGTGAGTGTTGGCCAGGCCGGGCCTCTTGCCTGTGGGGCGGGGGTGGGGGTGGGGGGCACGTGTGATTGGCGGGTGGTTTCTGTTGTGCTCTTCAGTCCTGGCAAGTGTCCACCTTTTTCTTTAGAACTTTGAATCTGTTGAGACAAATTAAAGGCCTCAGAGGTGATGAGCCCCAAAGCTGATTTGTACCCATTTGAATTTTTAGTTTGATTCTGTTTAGACTTGGTAAGTTTTCGCTGCAGAGACCTAACTGATGTCTGAGGACAGGCCCACTGAACTGAGCTGTGCTGCATTTTATAGTCTTGGGCTTGAGCTCCCAACACGGGAGCTTCCTTTGCTTTTCTCTTTTCTTTGTAATTAAAACCCAAGGTCCTGTACTAGGAAACTCATTGCCCTACCAGGGTGGTTTAGACACTGGGAGTTTAGGGCTTTTCCAGGGGGCTTCCCTCCCAGGTTATCCCCTACTCGCAGCCCTTTGGAAGTGTCATGATGACTGTGAGGAGCTCCTGCCGTCCCTGGGACATTGTGCTGTGGAGCCTTGTCTCCCCAGTGTCCTGCCCACTGCCGGGCCAGGGCCGAGGTCAGGTCACACGTGGGAATGTACATTTGTCGGCGACAGGGTGATGAGTGAGGCATTCTCACCCCATCCGCTTGGCACATGAAGGGCCTGGTCTGTTTCCTGTGAAGAACGTGCTTTCTGCTCTCTCCCTCTGTGTCTCCCATGTCCACTTACACACCAAAGATAAGAAACTAGAGTAGGCCTCCCAGGCTCTGTTCTTCCCAGATTAGCATTAGAGGCTGCCCATCAGCCGCCAGGATGACTCGGTGGGATCACCCGGAACTCCCCAGCCTCAGCCCCCCAGGGTCCCTAGGAGGCCGCCTCATTGGGCTGCCCTCCTGTCTCAGGCTGATCACCTGGATCCCGCTGTCCCAGAGAGGCAGACACAGGCTTTGTGAAGGTCAGCGTTGCAGGGATGGAGAATGGTCTGTCTGTCCTCACACACAGAAGGGGGCGTGTGGGATTCTTGGAGTAAAAGAACTTTTGACACCTTCTCAGGAGCCACAGAGCCAAGCGCTGACTGTGGCACTTTTACTCTCCAGCCCTCCCCTCCGTGTGTGCGGGCGATCCAGACATTTTAAACCTGGTGTTCCTTGGGAACCTGACGTGTAAAGTTCCCTTTTAGCATTTTTGCCCATTCTTTGCACTAGAATGTAGTAATAAAAGTGAAAGAGAAAAGGTCATTTTAAAACTTGGCTAATGAGTCAACAAAAAATTACAGAGTATACAAAGAAACGGTAAGTATGGTTTATTTACAGGAGAAAATGGACAGAAACCATCCCCAAGGTAGCACAGACATCAGGCTTACTAGAACAAAGACTTAATGTCAGCTGTCCTAAGTGTGCATCCCTAAAGAGCCAAAGGGGACCAGAGTAACTGTTTGTCTCAACAAAGAGAATGTTAGTCAGGAAATATAAATTATCAAAAGTAACCCAACAGAAGTTCTAGAGCAGAAAAGTACTGTAACTGAAATGAAAAGTTCACTGGAGTGGCCCAGTAGCAGATGTGAGCAGAAGAGGAAAAATCAGCAAACTTGGAGATAGGCCTAATGACATTACCCAGTCTGCGGAGCAGAAAGAAGAAAGAGTGGAAAATGAGCAGAATGTAGGGCCACTTGGGGCACCGTCAACATACATAGTATGACAGGCCCAGAGGGAGAAAAGCCAGGGCAAGGGGCAGAGAGAAGATACGAAGAGGTAATGGTTCAGAACTTCCCAAATTGGATAAAAGACATGGATCTACATTTCCAAGAAGTTCAGTGAATTTCAGGTAGGGATAAACTCTAAGATCCACCCAGACCCTCATTATAATCTAACTGCTAAAGCCAGAGAAAGAGGGACTCTTGAAACCAGCAAGAGAGAAAGGACACAGTGTACAAAGGATCTTCAGTGAGACTAACAACCGATTGCTCATTAGAAACCCCAGAGGCCAGAAAGCAATGGGGTGACGAGTTTGAGGTCCCGAAAGAAAAATCTGTTAACAAAGAATTCTGCATCTGGCAAAACTGCCCTTCAAGAATGAAGGGGAAATGGGGACACCCCCAGATACTGCAAAGGTAAGGTAGTTCGGTATGTTTAGACCTGCCCTACAAGGAATGCTAAAGAGAGTCTTCCAGACTGAAATGGAAGGATGCCAGCCCAGAACTTGAAGCCATAGGAAGAAGTGAACATTGGTACAAGTAACTATTCAGGGAAACACAAGCAGGGGAAGTGGGAGAGGGGGGAAGCAGGCTTCCCGCGGAGCAGGGAGCCTGACGCGGGGCTCGATCCCAGGACCCCCGGGATTATGACCTGGGCCGAAGGCAGACGCTTAACGACTGAGCCACCTAGGCGCCCCTCCCTATGCGATTTTTAAAGGCAAGTGTATAAAACAATAGTTACAGTTTCTGTTAATGGGTATGTAATGTAGAAAGCTGTAGTCTTTGATAGTAACGACATAAAGGTGTGGAGGGAAGGAGATACACAGGAGCAGAGCATTTGTATAGTTACTAAAGCCAGAAATGGAAAAGCTGATCTTAAAATTCACATGGAACTGCAAGGGGCCCGAATAGCCAAGAGTCTCATAAATGGAGAACGAGTTGGAGGGCTCACGTGTTCCTATTTCAGAACTTGCCACACAGGCCAATAAACAGAACATGGCCACTGACACAAGGATAAACATAGACCAGTAGAACAAAATTCAAGAACGCAGATTGCAGATGCAAGCCCGTACATCTTTGCTGAGTTGATTTTTGTCAAGGGTGTAAAGACCATTCAACGGGGGAAGGGGACAGTTCCTTCAACAGAAAGTATTGGGACAGTGAGATATCCACATACAAAAGAATGAAATTGGACCCTTGCACTTTTTGAGTTAACTCAAAATGGATAAAAGACCTGAATGTAAGAGCTAGAACTGTAAAGCGCTTACAAGAACCATGGGAGACCAGATCTTCATGATTTTGGTCTTGGCAGTAGTTCCTTAAATATGACACCAGAAGCACAAGCAACAGGTGAAAAAATTAATTGGACTTACCAAATTAAAATCTTTCGTGTATCAAAGGACACTGTTGAGCGAATAAAAAGACCCTGTACACAATGAAAGAAAGTATTTGGAAATCCTGCGTCTGATAAATCAGGGTCTAGAATCCAGAACATAGAACCCAATTTAAAAATGGGCAAAGGGTTAGAATATTCATTTTTCCAGAGAAGATATGCAGATGGCCAAAAGGCATGTGAAAAAATGCTGCATGTTACTCATTAGGAAAATGCAAATCAGAACCACAATGAGATAGCACTTCACACCTACCAGGATGGCTATAAAAGTTAAGAGTTGGCAGGGACACAGAGACACAGGACCCCTAATACGTTGCTGGTGGGCGTATGAAACAGGCTGTGGACATCAGTTTGGCTGTCCTTCAGAAAGTAAAATACAGAGTTACCATATGATTCAGCAGTTCCACTCATTGGTGTCTACCCAAGAGAATTGAAAATGTGGCTACACAAAGACTTGTATGTGGATGTTCACGGCCAAATGTCCATCAGTGCAGGAATGGATAAACAAAAGGTGTGTACGTAATGGAATATTATTCAGCCACGAAAAGAAATGAAATACTGATACATGATACAATATGGATGAACCTCCAAATATGCCAAGTGAAAGAAGCCAGACACAAAAGGCCATGTGATTCCATGTATGATTCCATGTATACGAAATGTCCCTAACAGGCAGCTGCAAGGAGACAAAATAGAAGAGTGGTTGGTTGGGGTGGGCAGTGGAAGGCACAGCGTATCTTTTTTTTTTTTTTTTAAGGGATTTATTTATTTATTTGAGAGAAGGAGCGTGTGCGCATGCAAGCAGGGAGGAGCGGGAGAAGCAGGTTCCCCGCTGAGCAGGGAGCCCGACGTGGGGCTCGATCCAGGGACCCCGGGGTCATGACCTGAGCTGAAGGCAGACGCTTAACGACTGAGCCACCCGGGCGTCCCAGGCACAGGTTATCTTATATAGAGGATGGAAGTGTCTGAAACTACGGTACTAGGCACATGACTTGATAAATTTACTGGAAGTTTCTGAAGTATACACTTATGATGGGTTTTATGTTAAATTACGCTATCTCAGTAAGTTGCTTAATCAAAAAACTGGCCCAAAATAGTAGTGACTGACAAAGCCGTTCCCTAGTTTGGCTCTGGTCTCTGTAGCCGCGAGCTCTTCCTGTAGTGCGCAGTCCCAGGCACTGATGTCCACAGGTTTTCCTTCCCCGGGTCAGGTGCTGACATTTCTAGTGTCTGCAGGGAAGTGGCGCTGATTGCCGCCGCCACCTGAGTCCTTGTGTTGTGGAGAAGCACCTTGAGCTGGCCGCTGTGACGGTCACTGGAGCTGAGCTGGGGGGCCTGCTAGCGCTGCTCTTGGGCCCAGCTTTACTTCAGCGCACAGGAACTATAGTCAGTTTTCCAAACCAGAATTTGGGACTTGGGAATGTGCCAATAGCTTTCATGCTCTGTCTGGAGCTACATTTAGAGTCTCAGAGAGATGGGGCCTCCAGGGCAGTGGATCAGGCCCTGGTTTGGATGCTGATTGCAGACGGGAGGAGGGGCTTCCGTGGGCTCTTCCTTGTGGAAGCTGCCAAGACAGCCCTCTGAAGGTGGGTGGGTGCTGGTGTGCATGGTTTAGCACAGTGATGCCTGCTTGGCCTCCTGGCTCCAGTTCAGCAGCTCAGGGAACTGCGGTCAGTGGCTTAGGGTCTCTCCAGAGTGAGTGCCTTCCCGGGGATGGACATCAGGGCGGTGTCCCGGTGGCCAGTGGCTGCCCTTCGTGGTCATCCTCACGGCTGTGAACCAGTGGCAGGTTCACAGTGCTGCTTTGTCTTGATTTGTTAGTGAAGCACAACGTGCATAGACAAGTGTGGAGTGTCGGGCAGCCCAAGACGTCTCTCCAGCTTCTGGAGGGTTGTCCTGGCCGTTCTGCTGAGCTGACCAGCTGTAAAGCTGGGCCCAGTGGGAGTTGGTGCCTTTTCTGTGCGCTGATGACTACCTGTCAGCTAGGGTGTAGGAGGCATTGGTCTCCATGCTTCTGGGGTCACTGAGCAGGCTAGAGAAGATAGCTGATCACATTGGCTGGAAACAGGCATCCTAAAGCCGTCTGCTGCGTGCCAAGTGTATGAGGTGGGACACGTTCTTTCCGTTGGGGAGGTGAGGTGTCTGCAGAGCGGAAGGCAGCATAGTGCCTGGTGTGGAGGGACAGGCACCAAACGGCCTGAGCCATGTGTGTGCAGCAGACGGGCTGTGAGTCCGTACTTCCTGAGCAGAGGCTCTGACCAGCCCTCAGCATTCCCCAGGTGGAGGGGGGCGATTTGGCACCCACTTCCCAGCTGTCCGTTTCTCCTCTGCCTCTCACTGGCCTGGGAATTTGATGTGTAAGCCTTGAGGAAAAGACGCAGGTCCTGCAGCCCAGTGAGAAGGCGACCGTGGCCTGCCGTGAGGCTGGACACGCGGTGCGCTGGGTCCTGGAGCTTGCTGACCCTGTGTTGAAGGTCGGTCTGAGTGTTCACCTTCCCCGGGTGACTGGTCTCTGGTCGTGTGGGCACAGTACATTCACAGTGTCAGCCCTTCTTCCCAGGGAAGGTAATGGTTAGGAGTCGGGTTCCAAAGATTGTTCAGGGGTGTGTAGCGGAGGAGGGCTGTTGGTTCCAGGTGGGATCTGGATGCCGGCCACCTGACACCCCAGAGGTTTGACGTCAAACCTGCCTCACTCCTAAGCTTTGGACCCAATGGGACGGCTCCTCGAGAACTTCCTTGAGACTGATAGGATGGAGGTGGTTTCCATGTTAATCTTTGGGGTGACCCCACCCGGACCCACCTACTCCTGGGTGGGGCGGGGCCCAGGGGTCTCCTCCCACACCCTTGTGACCAGTGGTCATAGTAGGGCATACTGGTCTGGGATACTCCATAGGTGGGACCTGGAAGGGGCCAAGAGCTCTGCGTGGGGCGTGAGCAGAGTACTGCCTGCCTGTGTCTTCTAGGTGTCCATCATCCCCTGGGGCAGAGGGCTTGGCTATGCCCCGTGTTTGCCCAGGGAGCAGTGTCTGTCCACACGGGAGCAGCTCTCTGACTGCATGTGCACGATGGTGGGGGGCAGGGTGGCTGAGCAGCTGTTTATTGGGCAGATCACCACCGGGGCTGGTCAGTGCCTTTGACCTTGAGGAAGGTCACCCAGAGCACCTCTGCCCAGGTAAAGGGCAGCCACCCTAGTGGGGGGCTCTGCATGGCTGAGTCCCTCCAGGCTTACCCCCAGCTCCTTACTTTCAGATTGTGTAGTTTGGGCTGAATGAAAAGCTGGGACAGGTGTCCTTTGACTTCCCCCGCGACAAGGCGAGATGCTGGTGGAGAAGCTGCACAGTGAGGCCACTGCCCAGCCCATAGATGAGGAGGTGCTGACCTGGTGCCGAGAGCAGGTGGACAAGGTGAGTGGGGCGGGTCCCGGCTTGGGGCACTCCCATCCTCACGGGATGTTGGGTTTGGGGTTTGCCTTGGCAGGGCCTGCTGTTGCAGCTGAGTGACAGGCAGCTGTGATTTCTAGGTGGGCAGGCCGCTGCTGGAGACGGAGGTGCTGGAGGAGGCCGACATGGTGGGGCTGCTGGGCCCCGGCCCTTTGCGGAGAAGTCCACCCATGAGGAGTTTGTGGAAGGCACCGGCAGCCTGCAGGAGAACGTGTCCCTTCCTGAGGGGCGGGAGGAGGGGACTGCAAAGCGCCACCTGCAGGAGAGCCCAGCTAGGAAAGCTGCTTCCAAAATCACTGGAAAACAAATTAAAACATGATAACAGCAAACGGGTGTTTTAGATCTGGGCAGTCAGACCCCAGCCCTAGAGGACGGGGTCCCCAGTCAGAGGGGCGGGCAGTAGCCCCCCGGGGAGAGCAGTGGGCGAGTGTCTTCCTGGTGGGGTTTTGAGTTTGGACCTCCAGGGGCCTCCCACAAAGGGAGGTGGGTGGTGGGTGGATTTGGTGGGTACAGCCGTCTCACGGGCAAGTGTGAGTGCTGGTCTTTTCAGTTTCCCCAAGGAGAGGAGGCTTTGGCTCAGTTCAGAAATTCTGAAGGTTTAGTTAAGTGGCAGAATTAAGAAAAGGGAAATCTAAGCTAGTTATCAAGGGAAAGTATTAGGTTTTTACAACAGCTGTTTGGGTTGGTGGAAGGCCTGTCAGTGATTCTGGAGGAAACAACACTTCCCACAGGTGTGTGGTTGGGGGAGGGTAATGGAGCCATGGGGGCCCCGAACCACTCCCACTGCCCCCCCAGCACCCGGGCACTGCTGTGAGCACGAGGGAAGCAGTTTCTCAGCCAAAGCAGCACTAGTTCCTGGGTAGGCAGCTTTGCCGACGAGGGTGTGTCTGGATTCAATTCCCTTCTCCAGCAAGCCATGTTCTCTGCCATCCCCTTTTGTTAGAATCACAGAGGGGGCTCTGGACTGATTTGGGATCCCCTGGGTTGTATGTGGAGAGCCCTGTTGTCGCTGCCCCTGGTAACGCTCTTCCTCGTGTTGGGGAGCTGCCAAACGGAAGAAGGCCAGTTCTGGGTTATGAGCTCTAGGCCTCTGATGCCGTAGGTTGTCTGGTTGGTCCTGGAGCATGGCCAGGGCTTGGCCTGGCCCGGCGAGCTGGGGTCAGAACTGGCCTGGGGCTCAGGGGCAGTGTCCTGCTTGTTCTCCACGCAGCCTGCCTCCCAGAGGTATCAGAATCACAGCAGCAGAGGGCTGTCAGCCCTTGGGTGGGTCGGTGAGTGTCCGGGACCCCTGGTGCTCGGTGCATCCTGGGGAGGGGGTGGTTCTGCTTGCTGCCTCATAGGACCTCTGCTCTCTGCTTGGCTCTCTGCTCTGCTCTCTCCCAGACACTGGGACTTGTTTAAAAATTCCGTTGGATTCAAAAATAGCATTTCCAACTTGGGACAAGCACTTTCGACTTTTGTTGTTTGTAAAACGTGCCATTATTGAATTTTTTACATCTCCAGAGCCCATCCTGTAATGAAGTCCCCACTAAACCTAGCCTTCATTATCTGAGCTGCATGGGGACCTGCCAGGGTCCTGTCTCGGGGCTCCCTCTGACGGAGGGGAGGGTGCTCTGTGGTGTCCAGAGCCTGGGACCTGTTCATTTTGAGGCCTGGCACAGCCCCTCTCCGGAGTCCGAGGCATGCTCTCAGCACACCTGGGTGCTCCGCAACCCCAACCCCTGCTGTTTCTGGCCTTGGATGCCCTCGTGCTCACCTCCCCTGAGTCTGCTCAGCTCTTCCCTTCACCTGTTTGGGCCATCCGGGCACACACTACACAGGCCCAGGGACAGAGGAGACCTGGCCCGGAATCTTCCATGAGGGAGGCTCAGGCTTCCCTCCAGAGAGCCCAGTGGGAACAACTGCCTGGCATGGGGCCCAGGGCCTGTCTTCTGGGCCCCTTGTTTCATGGGTAATCCAGAGGATTGGGGTTTTGGCCTCACCCTTGGCCTTCTCCTCACAGGCCTTACCTACTGGCTCCCTTCTTGTGACAAGCTGCTGCTCTGGGCCTGGAGCTTCCTGGGAACCTGCCTGGGCTGGGAAGACTTGCCAGAGTGCACCTTGTGCTTTTCCGGGCCTGGGCTCAGGGTGGGGGGTGGGGGACAGGATATTCACTTCCTAAGGCCTAGAAATCCAGGGCACTTGTCCCTGAGACATGGCCCACGTGAGCAGCCCAGAGGAGCCCCCGGTGGCTTCAGCTGGAGGAAGACTAGAGCAGCCAACCCCACCCCCACCCCCCAATACGCACTCCTGAGCGTTGGTGTCACCTGGAACCGAAGAGACCGTGCTTGGGCCTTAGGAAGAGATGAGATTTTAATCCGATCTTATGTAAATATTAAGCTCTGCGGAAGGAAGCCATAGCAGGAAGGCTGGAGATGGGGAGCATGATCCTGGTGGGTGGGGTGGGTGGGGCATGCAGCTGCCCTTAGGGGATTTGATTTTAAGTGAACTTGGGGATGATGCCTGGTAAACATCCCTTGAGTTGGGGCTCATCGTATAGAGGGAGCAGGCACCGTCCCTCAGCATTTCTGAGGCCGGTCTTCTCGGCGGGGAGCTTGCCTCTAGCTGCGCATGGTGGGCCTACGGCACGCCCAGGGCTACAGGAGAGCAGGTGTTCCTTCCCTAGAAATGTTTGAGGGGAATGGGTCAGGGCAGGTTGGCCTGGGGACCAGAAGCAAACTTCCGCATTTATTTTGAAACTGTTCTTGGACTTGCTGTGTCAGAGCAGAGCCTCTTCAGTCCCTTAGGTCATAGAAAGCAGCAATGGGAGCAGCTGAGCCTGGTGCCCTTAAGTCGGGGGCTGGGGGGCCGTGCCGGGGTCCACTCATGTTCCCAGTCCCCCTCGGGCTGCACTACCCCAGGCCAGGATGCCATCCAGGGGCACAGACCTAGGACTGTGCATGCCTCTGTGTGCATTTGCGTGACAGGCTGTAGGGGTGTGTCCCCCTGCCCACTCCCCCCCACCCACGGTCTGAGGCAGTCGTGCCATATTTGGTGTTCTGAGCCGAGGACGGTGGGCCCGGCTGTCACACAGGAACTAAGACAAGCTGGGTCTCAGGGCCTGGGGAGGAGGTCCTGGTGCCAAGAAGAGGATGGGATTGAAAGGAAGGTGGCATTGTTCAGGACGGACTCCCCTACCCACATTCTTGGCTGGATAGTAGAGCATCCCATAGGCCGCAGCGTGGTGTAGCCATTCCCAGACCGGAACCCTGAGATCCTCGGGGGTTTTGCAGAGAAGCTCTCTCCGGCTTTCCTCACCCTTACCCCGCACCCACTTGGGAATCTTGTGGCAGATGAGAGCACCAGTCCTGCAGACAGAAGTTTCCAAGAGGCCTAGGCCACTCCCACCTCATCCTCAGATGCTGTGGTCCCTGATCAGGGACTGGAAAGGAGTGGGGACGTAAAGCCACTGGGCTGTGCTTGTGCTGGGGCGCCCCGAGAACCTGGCCCAGAGCCACATGGGGTGGGTGGAGTGTCCGTGGGGTCAGAATTGTCCAGATTTGCACTGCCTTGGCCCCAAGGCCAGCTGGCCTAGTCCTCCTTGGGCCTCTCCACGGTGAGAAATGTGTCCACAATTGCTGGCTGGCGCTCCGGGTCACCAAGCGGTTGCTTCTCTCGGTTCTGCTCGGCCCTGGTTCGTGTCCAGGAGGGGGAGCGCAGACAGCCAGCCCGGGGCAGTGGGTGCAGGCCTGACGGGAACACGGGGGTCAGGTCACTCCTGCAGCTACTGGGCTGGGCCTGTGTGTGTCTGGCCACACACTGGGGTCCCCTGGATGCTTAGAAAACACAGATGCCAGGCCACCAGTAATGTGGACTTGTGGGTCCGGGTGCAGCCCGGGCAAAGGCTTTTTTGATGCCCAAGGAGGGTCCCTGTGTGGCCGAGACCCACACCCTAGGTGTGAGCCTGGCCCCAGCAGCCAGCTGGTCCCTTACCCTCTCAGGGTGCAGGCTCTACAGGGCTGGGATCTGAGCACTCCCTTCCCACCCCGACCTGCACAAGGTGTAAGAAGGGAGAGAAGAATTGGTCCCTGGGTCCCTGTACCCCCACTGGCGGCCTTGCCATTTCTGGGGCCCTTGACGTCTTGGGCCAAGGGCAACACTTCCTCAGGAACCAAAGGGGAAACTAAGGCCTGAGCTGTGGAGCCAGGGCTGATGAAGGCCACCCCACTTTGCTTGGCCTAACTTGTGATTAAATTCACATGTAGTAAATTTTACTTTTGATGGGGACTATGACTTTGGCCTTTTGTTGGCATTTGGAAAGGAAAATTGAGGAAAACAGAAAAATTCCTTGATGTTGGGCAAGTAGACATGTAAAATGCAAAAATACTGAATGAGATGGTGCAGTGACAAGCACCAATTTTGACACACGTGTGAGAAAAATATTTTCAAAAATAGGGGTTGTGGAGAGCCGTGTTCCATGGGCTGGGGCCCCAGAACCGCCCACCACTCGCCGCGCCCCAACACCAGCCCACCTGCTGGCGATTCACCGGCCAGGCTCTCGTCGTCTGAGTCAGCAAAGACCTCGGCCAGCTCCTGGTCGGACATGTCGGTCAGCTCGGTGAGGTCCAGGAGGTCAAAGTGCACCTCCAGGGAGGAGACGCTGCTCAGGGGCTCTGCAGGGCGGGCGGAGGGGGCTGCTCATAATGGGCACAGTCTGGCCTCCCAGGGACACCTTCCCTCCCCCTGCCGCCGCCGAAGCCCCCGGGAAGAACCAGAGCTCTGGGCAGAGCCCTGTGGGGTCAGGGTAAGATGGGGCAGAACCCCCATCCCCCCATCGGCTCTCCACACTCAAGACTGAATGCCTTCTGGGTCCCCCATTTTGCAGATGGTATAGCCAAGGCCACAGCCCGAGCTGTAAGAGCCCAGCCGCAGCACCCCTCCCCCACACACACCTGGGGGAGTGTTTGGACAGGATGTGGACCTGACCCTCCATCCCCCAGGGGCTCACCGTCCCTCCAGAGTACATGCTGGGCAGGTCAGCTGTACTTACGCCTCCTCTCTGTGACCTGCAGGAGCCCCGGGGCTGGTATTGGGATGCCCACCTCCTCCTCGGCCGTGGGTGAGCGGTAGCTCTCCCCTGCCCCGTGGGCCAGGGTGCCCAGGGCTGCCTGTGGTCCCTCCACCTCCTGAACGGTTTCTGCAACAAAGACGGAAGGTGTTACCTGGGAGGAGAGATGCCGGTGGGGAAGACGGGAGTCCGTGGCTCACTGAGCCCTCCTCTGAGGCTCCGGGCGGCGACCAGGGTAGCCTGGGGTAGTCTTGGGCTGGGGTCCCAGACAAGGGCCACTGGGTGCAGGAGGAGGGGAGTGTGCAACACTGTTACCTGTCTCTACTTTCAGGTCCAACCAACCGGCCCATGTCACTTTTGCATTTCCTTGCCTTTTGGGGCTCTTTGATCCAGAATGGCCCCTGCTTGCCTGTCTGTCCTCTGATGCACTTACAAAAATGCACGTTCTGTTTGAATGCATAATGATTTATTTTCATAGTAAAAGAGACTGGGGGATATTTCTCTAGGTTTCTTCTATGTAATTTTTTGGAAGATTTAATTGCTCATTTTTTACATATGACAATTTTTTTTTTTTTTCAGTTGAGAGCAGTAGGCCCTGGGGGCAATCTGCTTGGTAGAGACTGCCGCTCAGAGATGGACCCCTGCCCCATAGAAGCACCAACCCCACCCTTCTGTTGTTTGGGCCAACACCTTGACCTCTTAGCTCACATCCCTCCATCCAAATTTCCTACCAGTTCCTCCAGAATGTTCCAGAGCCCATCCACATCTCCCCCTCCTGCTGCCTCACCTTGTCACTCCCCGAACTCAGCCAAAGAACCTGATAGGCATGTCCCCTGAGGCAGCTGGATCCCTTGGCTCCCCCATGGCCCCATTGTGGCCCCATAGAGTGAACAGATGCCCTCTGCCTCCCCTCAGCAGTGCTCTGTGATGCACCAGGATCTTCTCTAGGAGAGCCCAATTGGGCCCCCAGCACCAGGAGCTGCCTGCCACGGGTGGGCCTTTCCTCAGCAGTGCAGTCAGCAGCCAGGATGCTGCCCAGCAGGTCCCATGTCTAAAGGGTCTCCAGCAAAGTGGGAAGATAGGCCATCCATTCACAGCTGTAGAGCTGGCTGGGCAACACCTGGCCTCCTCTGGGAGGGCACCACCCTCCCTGGGAAGTGTGGCTGAGGGAAGATGGGCCTGGGGACCTGCCCATGCTATTCATGTCATCACATGGGGTTTGGGGCTGGCCAGGCTGGACGGTGCTCAGGGTATCTGGTTTCCACTTCTCTGCTGCATTTGGAACGTGACTTCTGAGTATCCTCGAAGGGTAGAGTTACACCCACCACTGTCCTGGCCCGCCCAGCCCAGCAAGTACACCTTCCCACCCAGAGGGCACGAGAGATGTAATTCAGACCCTGCTCTGAGCTGGGGTGAGCAGGGGCCCCTGCCTTGAACCTCTCCATCCATCCCTGTCGAGAGTCCTTGAGGAGCCTTTACTCTGTGGGGCTCGGGAACCTGCTTTGTTTCCTTGAGTGGGGAAGTACAGCACCTGGTCCCTCTCTCTGAGGGTGTAGGACGGGCTCACATCACGCTGGCCTGTGCTGTCATAATTGTGAGATGCTTCCATGCACATGGCTCATGGTGATAGGTGAGGCAGGGGGACACGGTAGGGGATACACATCACACAGATGTCATCAGGACTTTGCTACTCTCGGAGAAGCCGCCAAAGGGTTTTGAGCTGAGTAGGACAAAATCTACCTCCATTTTTAGGAGATGCAGGCTAGGTGGGAAGGATAAAGTCCACAGGTGTTGAGACAGTACAGGGTGAGGGGCAAGCACCACTATAGATGCTGGGGTTCAGGGGTCTCAGACGGCCTAGACTGTTGCACTGTTAAGCCCATTTTGACAAATGTCAACATCCCTGAAAGAGCCAAGCATCTACGGTCAATGGCATCATGGATGATGAATAAACAAAATGTGGTCCATCCACACAAGGGGATGTTACTCAGCCATAAAAAAGAAAGCACCGACACAGGCTACAACATAGATTGAGTCTTGAAAACATTATGGTTAAGTGCAGGCAGCCGGTCACAAAAGGCCATGCATTATAACATTTATATGAAATGTCCAGAACAGGCGAAACCACAGAGAGTAGAAAAGTAGATTAGAAAAGACATAGACAGTAGATCGTTGGTGGTTTCCAGGAGCTGGGGTGTGTGTGGAATGGGGGGTGACTACTAGTGGGTATGGGGTTGCTTTTCAGGTTGATGAAAATATCCTAAAATTAGATGGTGGTGGTGGTTGCACAATTTTGTAAATATACTAAAGGCACTGAACCTTATGCTTTAAAAGAGTGAATTTTATGATAAAAGAAATCCTCAGTGGAAACAAAGGTTGATTTTGGATGGAATTGAAGGGCAAATCCAGGAGGACCTAAGACATCAACTAACATTTGCTGTGCACCTACTGTGTGCCAGGCACCAGGCTCAGAGGCTGGGAGTAGGTAAGAGAAGTGTGACCTCTAGGACCTAGGCTTAGTCCTAGCACACAGTAGGTGCCAAACATAAATGTTTGTCCAATGAATGAACAAACCCAAGACCCCACCCCAGAGTTTCTAAGCAGCTGTGCTAGGAATCACCTGTCCATGGCTGAGGCCCACAGCTCTTCCTGGGGTAGGAAACAGGAGTGATTGCAGAAGCAGGCAAGGGGTGGGGCTGCTTGGTGCCAGGCTGAGCAGGGGCACCCGGGGCCAGGCTGTGGGGTGGCAACACCGTGATTCTCAGCATAGCCCCCATCAAGCCCCTGCAGGGGCCACTGGTGCCCTGACCTGTGCAGGCAGCAAAGCAGTGCCCCATGGGGCCTGCAGTTACCACGGTTACCACAGTTCCGCCCCCAGCACCAACGGCTGATGTGAGTGGATATGATAGGGTTACCTTGCACTAGGCTGCTGACCTATTTTCCAGCCCATTTGTGTGAGAACTTGGCCCAAATCTTAAGTTCCCTGCTGTGTGCCCTGGGCCTTGCCCTAAGCATCGAGCAGGTGCTCTGCATGAACGGATGAACAAATTAATGAAGTGAATAAATGAATATCATATACAACAAAATGGCAGTGGGGAGGCAGAGATGGTCACAGAGATGGGCCCCTGTACGCTATTTCCCTAGCCCCTTGTCCTTGGACGTCGAGGATGCCGGGTGGGCCGTGCCAAGGCGCAGCCTCCTGAGTGCAGGGCCGTGGCCTCTCTCTCCCTGTGGCCGTTCGGACAGACTTGGAGTTGGGTGGGTCCAGAACCTGGGTTTACCAAAGGCCCCACTTGGGGCCCTTCCAAGAAGCGCACTTCCTTCTCATCTCCATGTCTGGACACTTTGATATTAAGAAATTACTGCTAATTCGTTTAGGTGCAAAAATGGGATTTTCATTATGCTCTATGAAAACCTTATCTTTTAGAGACACTCTGAGGAATACTTACAGATGAAATAACATGTCGAGATTGGCTACAAATTACTACTGAAGGGTGGCTGGTGGTGGTCTGGTTGAGCAGGCTGGGAGGTGACACACGGGGAGCTTTACCACATTGTTCTACTTTTCTGTGTGTTCCACATGCTCCAGAATCAAGTTTTCAGAAGTCCGTGAACTGAGAGAATGATGGTCACAGCCCTCCACCCATGATCTTGAGAGATCCCACGGCAAGGGGATCACCAGGCCACTGTGTAGGCAGGAAATGGCTCCACAGAATGTGAGCCCTCTGGGGCCCCCTCTGCTCCCACCCCGACTCCTGCAGAGTAGGCACCTGATAAATACATCTCTGTGCATGGAATGAGTACGTGAGATTCCTAAACTGGAGGATCATGAAGTCCCTCTCCCCAGCGCCTTCCTTCCCTGTCTCACTCAGGGCTCCCACAGTCCTGCGAGGGAAGTGAGTCTGTCCCCACTGACAGAAGTGGACATGGAAACTGAGGGCCAAGCTGCTTTGCCCACATCTCTCACAGCTCTGTGCTCTCCAGCCCTTGCCCTCCAAACCTTTCCCATCACGTCCCCACATAGCCGCCTCTGGGAAATCCTGGGGTCCTGGGACTGTCAGTGGCAAGAAAAAGCTGGATCCCTTAAACAAGGGACAAAACAAAGAAAACCCACACCCACCAGCTCTGGGTGTGTCGGGTGGTGTTTGCCGGGTGGGTGACAAGGGCCCTCAGACAGCTGTCTGGGCTGCACCTGCCCAACTCAGACTGCAGACACAGCAGTGGGTGGGCCCGTGGCTTCAGGACACCCCCCTGGGGGCCATCCCTTTGGGCTCCAGATGAGATTGCTGACGTGGCTGGGGTCCTTCCTCAGGTCCCTGTGTGGTCAAGAGTGGCTCCCTGGGATGGGACCTCCAGGAAACCCATGATGCGTCTGGGGCCTAGCCAGGCCGGTGGAGGCGCTCATGGCGCCGAACACTTTTCCTGAAAAGGACTCTTGAGGTGGGGGTTCCTAGAGTTTTCCTCCCGTCACCAGCTGCCGCCCTGACCGAGCGGGACTCCAAAGAGGGGAGACCTAGGTAGAATCTCAGACGTCAGAGTCGCCGAGAGCGGACATGGGCTTCGAGGAGGCCTCCTTCCGTGCATACCTGCCCTCCCAGATGTGAGCGCCCCTGGGCCTCGCCCTGGCCGACAAGCCCTGCAAGCGTGGGGCAGGCCCCCCACCCCCACCCCCACCCCGGCAGGCCATGCCGGGTGCAACGCCCTCCTCCCCCCCCCCCCCCCCCCGCCCCCGGCCCTATCCCAGCGCGGTGCCCTGCAGGATCCCAGCGGTGGCCTCCCTGCCCTAGCCCCCGGCGAACAAAGCAGATACGCGGCCCAGAAGGGCAGCGCCGACCCCCACGCCTCGCGGAGCTGTACCCCAGACACGCCCCATGCCCAGACCCCCCCGGACCCCTGCTCTGCTGGTTTGGGGTTCAGCACGAAACTCTGGGCCAACCACCCAGGAGCGCGCCAGGCGACTGAAAGCGCAGAGGACAAGGGGGCGGGGACGCGATGTGTGCGCCCCCCGCCTAAAGCGGGGGCCGTTCCCGGGAGGTGCCCCCGGCCTAGCTCCCCCGGCGGCAGGCCAGGCTTTCTCCGGCTCCGGCCAGGCTCAACTCGGAGCTACCGGTGGGTCTTGTGCGGCCCCCGGGAGCGGCCGATGAGTGGGCCAGGGGGGAAGGGGCTGCGGCTGGCTGCGGGGGAAGGCGCAGCTCGGGGACTCCTGGGGACTTGGGGCCGCACTCACCTCCCGGGCCGGCGCCCTCCGGGGTCTCCATGCGGCCGGCGGGGTCTGCGAGGGGCGCGGGCGGCGGCGGCGTCACCCAGCCCGGGCGCCCCTGCAGCTGCGGCGGCGACTCGGCCCCAGCTCGCGGCGCAGCGCATCGGGGCAGCAGCCGGGGGGCCGCGGCGGCAGGGAGGAGCCCGCGGGGCGGGGCGCGCAGCTGCTCCGGGGCCCGGGTTCCCCCTAGCATCCTCCCCCCGGAGCCCCGCAGCACAGGTGCGGCCCCGCCCCGCCCCGCGCGCGCCCCCTGCCGGCCCAGGCTCTGCGGACCACCTCTCCCACCGACCTCCGGGGCTGCGGACCCACCCGCAACCGGCGGCGGCCTCCCATCCTCGGCCCGGCCCTTGCGCCCTCTGCGCCCCCAGCGCGCTCACTTCTCTTGCAGCCGTGCCAACTTTCGTCCATTTGTTCACCCCCAGATATTTATGGGGTGCCGGCTACGTGCCGGCGCCTCGCGGGCCAATGGAGAGGAGGCACAGAGGAGAAGCAAAGGCGGCGCCCAAACCCTTGGCCCCAAAGCAAAGAATTGCAGATTGTGATGAATACTGTGAAGAACACTGCGGGTGGGGCTGGGCGAGAGTTTAATGGCGAGGCCGGATGGGGGCGTGGGTGGGAGATAGGAGGTAGGGAGATGGGAGCGGGCAGAGAGAGGGCCCCGGGAGGGAAGGCAGGGTCTGGGCGCGCTGAGAACGACACGCAAGTCCCTGGAACGCGACCCCGTGCCAAGCTCTTTGTGCACAGTATCTCAGTCATTCCCCCAGAGATCCTAAGAAGACGGTGTCCTGGTTTTCCAGGTGAAGAAACTGAGTACAGAGAGCGTAGGTAAGCTGACCAAGGTTACACAGCCAGGCACTGGAAGCCAAAGGGTCTGAATCCAAGCCCAAAGGCTGCACTTTTATAAAAACAAACCAAACCAAAGAAAAGCATCAGGGAGAAAGAGTTTGTTCCCGGCTGGGAGTGGAAAAGGCCCACAGAAGAGGGAGGTGGGTATGAACTTGGTGTTTGCAGGAAAGGCACCATCTCAAAGGCAGGTGGTCCACATAGCTTCAGCCAACCAAGGCACTCATTGCCCCGTCCAACTCCAGTCATACAGAACCCACAGCCTTCAAGATTGTCAGTCAGCGAGGCTGGCTAATAGTTCCCATTTTTCTTTAGTTTACAAAACAAATGAAAACAAAAACTGCAGTCTGCAACCTTCTAAAATGATTTCATGACCCACTAGAACTGGCCATTGTTGTGAGCCATGGGCCTCCTTGCGATCCCCAAATGGGGAGAGAATGTTCTCTCAGGGAAGAAACTGAATTATAGGGTGGGTGGTGGGGACATAAGCGAGCCAGTCAGTGCCCTAGGAAGCTGGGGCAGTGGATGGGCACTGGCTGTTCAGAGTCAGCTGGGGTGGCAGATTGTAGTTCTCAAAATGGTCAGATCAGTATTTCTGATTCCACTTCCAGAACCTTCCACTCCCATCAAGACACTCCTCCATCGATACTCCTTCTGTTGAACCTGGGCGAGGCTTGTGATGGCTTTGGCCAATAGAGTGTGGCAGAAATGATGCCATGTGACTTCTGAAGTTGGGTCATAAGGGGATTCAGCTCAGGAGGCCCCCCTGGAATCTGGCCACCTTGTGTGAGGAAGCCCAAGCCCCTTGAGAGACCACCTGTGTGTGTTCTGGCCGGCAATAGCCATTAGGCCAGACTCAAGTCTCTCAGCCAATGGGCAGACATGAGACTCCACCTTTGAGCCACCCCTCTGGGGGTGGTCTGTGGAGCTGAGGTGTCCTGTCCCACCGAGTCCTGGCTGAGTTGTAAATTCATGAGCAAGAGAGATATTGCCACTGTATTAAACCACTACTTTTTGGGGGTGACCTGTTATGTAGTCATAGTAACTGTAAGAGCAATTGTTTAATAATTATCCCCATCTGAGAGATGAATAGGTGGATACAGAGGGGGTCTTGTCAAAGGCATCCCAGCTGGTAAGCAGCAAGTGATCTGATGACAGAGGCCAGTGTTTATTTATTTTTAACTTTTCCTTAAGAACATTTTCAAGGGCGCCTGGGTGGCTCAGTTGGTTAGGCGACTGCCTTCAGCTCAGGTCATGATCCTGGAGTCCTGGGATCGAGTCCCTGGCATCGGGCTCCCTGCTTGGCAGGGAGTCTGCTTCTCCCTCTGACCCTCCTCCCTCTCATGCTCTCTCGTTCTCTCTCTCTCTCAAATAAATAAAATCTTTTTTTTTTTTAAAAAGAACATTTTCAAATAAAAGGAGAGAGAATAGCATGATTAACCTGCATGTACCCATTATCCCATCACCAACATTCAACAGTTACCAACTCATGGCTGATCTTGTTTCCTCCCTACTATCGATCACCTCCCTCCACTGCTGGCTTGTTTTTGTTTTGTTTTGAGTAGGCTCCATGCCCAGTGTGGAGTCTAACAGGGGGCTTGAACTCATGACCCTGAGATCAAGACCTGAGCTGAGGTCGAGTCGGACACCTAACCAACTGAGCCACCCAGGCACCCCTGCTAGATTGTTTTGAAACAAATCCTATGCACTATATAATTTCATTTGTAAATACTTCACTATCGATCTCTAAAAGAGAGCCCAAAAATAAATAAATAAAGAGAGTTCACTCTTCTTAAGGACTCTATTATCCTAACATCCAGGCATCTATAGAGTTGATTTTGTGGCCCGGGGTGGTTTACCTGACCACCGAGGAAGCAGGCATTAGGAAGAGCCAGACATGAGACAACATCAGTGGGTCTGTATGTATCAACATTTCCTCTGTGATTTTGCTGGAAACTCAGATGCCATTTATCTGGGCTTCAGAGCTGCACAGCATGATGCTGAATAAAAGTATCTTGAGCCACATATGTGAAGAAAAGGCTCTTTTCTAAGAATCTGAACTCAAATACAATATGAAAAGCACAGGTCACTGTGGGCCCTGTCAGGAGTCCAGGGAGTTGCTGGCCAGGGCTCCCGTGAACTGTTCATCTCTGCAATCCATACCGATAAACTAGGCGACTCTGTTGGTTTTGACAAATGAATTCCCTGTCTGGTTATCCTTAGCTAACCCTCTTATTCTTTTGCCCTTTTTGCTGAAAGGAATTAATGTTAATGCATTTATTTAATTCAGAGATCCCAGACTTCTAAAGCAAAAAAGCCAATCAGCATGAGGCACCTAGCATATTGGGCAGTGTTAAATAACAATAATTACCCCTCTGTGTTACCCAGCTGCACTGTCTTGCCTGCCAACCCTCCTCTGGGAGGCCCTGGCATTGCGGGAGGAGGCCCCTATCAGGCCAGTGGTGTCTGGCTCAGAGGCGCAGGCTCTTGGCTGTCCAGGCACAGTGACATGACCAGACTTCACAAAGGCCTCTGGGCCAGCTATAAGTAAATCATGGCTCTGTGCGAGCCCCACTCCAAAGCAGCCAGGGCTTGGGTGGGCAACCAGAAGCCCCTTAGGGTCATCACTGTGGCTCTCAGATCCCTACCTCTGTGTGTGAGCTGGGGCCTAAGCAAGCCCAACAAGCGAGGCATTTTCCTCCTTGGGTGGGACTGGCCGATCCAAGCTCACCTAAGCCCTTCTTCTGTACTCACACTCTGTCCTCAGTGCAACTCTCCAGGGGGAGAAGATTCTGGAATCTTCTCCATCCCCAAGCAGATGGGAAAACATGACCTGCTGCAAAACCACTAGTTAGGAAGATGCCAATGTAGAGGGTGTAGAAAAAAAGAGGACAAATACTGTGTAAAGACGGGCACTCTCAGCTTTCTGGGTGACAGAGTGATGCACATAGGTAATAGGGTGAAATTCACTTTCGAAATCATATAATGACTAGCGGTTTTCAGAGCAAAAGGTTAGGAAGGGAACCTCAAAACTCTCTTTTTTCCTGCAGTGCCTGTCTGGAAACTTCTGGCAGACGCTTCTCGTTTGTCCTCAATGTCCTCGTCCGTAAGGACAGGGGCCACAGAGGAGGCCTCCTCAGGAAGAGCAGTCTATGTTTGAGAAGGAGACACTTCAGAGCTAGCTGGAAAATATTTTTCTCTCCTATTTTCGTTTTGTTCTGACGGTTTTCAGAAACCCAGCCATCTTCCAACCCCACTCCGACAGCAGGCGGGAGCAATCTTCAAAGGCGGGCGGGGTGGGGTGTGGCCCGTGGGCATAATCTCAGCCCAGACTTGAATCTCGTTTGGATACCTTCTGGGAGCCTGGGGTGGCCGATCCTTCTTTGCTCCCTGTCTCCGGCCTTCGGCGAAAGCATCTTTACCGAGCACCTGCTACGTACTGTTGTAGGCGCGGGACGTAAGAGAAAACAGTTCCTCCCCCCTTCATGGAGCTTAAGTTCTAGTCTCGGACACACGCAAAGTCCCGCAGCGAAATGCGTTTAGGAATTTCGGGGAGATGAAGCGCGTGGTTGATACGGGGCTGCGGGAAAAATCTACCCGACTCTGCAACCCCGGGTTCCGCCCAGTGTGCGTTGCTAGGAACTCGCCTGGGCTGTTGCGAGGGGCTGTCGCGGCCGGCGGAGTCTCGCGAGGATCTCCGAGACTTCGCGCGGGACCGCCCATCGGTTGCCGGGAGACGGCGCAGCCTCGGCGGGGCGGGAGCCGTGTGTCTGCAGGCCGCGGCCGGTCTCGACCCCCAGAGCCATGGTGAGGAGGCGCGGGGACCTGGGGCCTTGGTTAGCCGGCCCTGCGCGCAGAGAGACGACTGGACGGGGAGGCCTGGGTCCCCGGGACCTGTGCCCGCTGAGACCCCAGAGTGGGGAGGCCTGGAGTTCTGGGTTCCTGGCATCGAGGCCTTGGTGCTCTCGTGGCGTCTTCGTGGGGAGAGCACTGGGTGTGCGGATCCCGCACCCTCTTGGAGCTGAGAGATCTGGGCTGTCCAGGATCCGGCGCTCACAGGGGTGCGCATAAACGCGCCCCCCCCCCCCCCCCCCCAGGGTCTGGTGTGCACGCTTTCCAGAAGACAACCTGGGTCGGAAGGATTTCCTATCTGGAAGGAAGTCTCAGTCCTCCAGATCCTTGGGACCTAGGGTTAGGGGCCTGGAGTACAGTCGGGGGCAGGCGATACCCTAGGACCTCCAGTCTCTGGGATGAAGAGCCTGGGGCGTACCAGAGTGGCTAGAGGTCCGTCTACCCCGAGGCGTCCTGGACAGAGCCTCAGGGTACGGGAGCTGCTCTTTCCTTGGAGAGCCTTGGAGGAGTCAGGCCTGTATGGAGATGAGCAGGGTGGGAGCTCTCTGCCTCGCCAGTTCTTCCTCCCCGTCTCACTACAGGGCCCTCAGCTGCCCCACCATTCTGATAGAGGAGTTTTCAGTAGCTCGTTTTCCAGGCAGATGCAGCAGGAGGGGTATGAGCTAGTGGGGAGGACCCCTCTCCAGGAGCTATGCCAAGCCCCTGCATTTGGCTGTGAGTTGCCAAGTAGTTATGAACCGGTGGGACCTTCTCATGGGGTGGACTTCTTGGAGTAGAGGGATTAGAAAGACGGCAGTACGTTAGGAGTGAAGATTTCAGTGCGTGGGTCTTTTAGAATCAACTGGAAAAGGCCACCAAAATACTTAAGTTTATCACTAGCTTGTCCGAATATGGGTGATTTTCCTATTTTCTTTTTGCTTTTCTACGTTTTCTAAGATATCCATGTAAAAATTTTTTTGTAATCATAAAAATGTTAACAGACACGTAGACATACACATATAGAAACATTAATAGAGACATTTAGATGCATACACAGAAATGTTACAGAAACATGGGGATGCATGCACACACAGAAGCATGGGTCACAGAGTTGGGAGAAGTGAAGGCAGAAGGTGGGGATTTGGAAATTCAGTACCTGCTTGAGTGGCCCTTGGGAAGTGAGTGGGGGTGGGAGGTTCTTTCATCTTGTCAAAGTTGTTAGAAGCAGGTGTGACACTAGGAGCCATTCCTGTGTGGTGAACCATTTACAGAGCACCCATGGTGAGTGCTGTCTGCTTCAGCTCTTGACCAGGGTTCTTGGAAGGAGTTTTATATTTGGAAGAAAAGAAGCCTCATGTTACCTGCCTGATCATTGCTGTAGGTCCATTTCTCCTTACACATACCCAATAGTTTCTTGCAGGTTTCGCTATGGTGGTTACAAGCATTATTGTGAACACGGTAACATTTGACAGTGTGCTGTTGGGGTTCTTCCTGGCCAAGTAAATTTTGCATTCATATCCAGGAGGTCTCTGCCACATACCAAGGAGTGGATTTGGAACGAGTTCCCCCCCTTCCTTTCTGAGGGAGAAAATGTTCTCTTCTGAAGAGGAAGATTTGTGCTTGCTTTTCTTTGTGCGTGGTTATGGGTGGGAAGCCTTAGGGCACGGTGATGTGCTCCAGGTGGGGCATGACACAGTGAGCAATAGGAGACAGGAACCAGAATAGGTCCTCCTGTCCCAGTGTGCCCCGGGGGTTAATCAGAGCCAGCCAGATGGTGATGTCTTTAGACAGAGCCTTCCTTCCTTACCCAATCATCTCTTCTTTAATCAAAGGCGCCCAAGAAGAAAGGGAAGAAAGGAAAAACCAAAGGTACCCCGATTGTTGATGGGCTTGCTCCGGAGGACATGAGCAAGGAGCAGGTGAGCAAGGCCTTGGCCTAGTCCTGGGTCGGGATGGGACTGGTGGGTGTTGTTCCAAGTTGTCTCTGGGTGTTTGCCTTTATGAACCTCTTTCGCCGCCCACTGTCTCCTTATCCATCTCCCCTCAGTCTGCTCCTGCACTTCTGTCCAAACCAGGATATGCCTTCTTCCATTTCCATAATTCTCATCAGCTCCAAAGCTATCAAATGCAGTACATATTCAAAAACTAATGATGTAATGTATGGTGATTAATATGATAACATAAAAAAAAAAAAACAAATGCAGTACGTATTAAGAAAAAAAGCAATATAGCTACATTGAAAATTTTTTAATAGGGTGATAGGAATTTGGAAGGAAATGATTTTCTGATATAAAAACTATTTTTAATTTTCTTTTTTAAAAAGATTTTATTTATTTGACAGAGAGAGAGAGCAAGAGAGAGAGCACAAGCAGGGGGAGCAGCGGAGGGAGAGGGAGAAGCAGGCTCCCCGCTGAGCAAGGAGCCCAACGACGCGGGCCTCAATCCCAGGACCCTGGGATCATGACCTGAGCTGAAGGCAGATGCTTAACGACTGAGTCACCCAGGCATCCGTATTTTTAATTTTCTGTGTATCATTTCTTTTTCTTTTCTTTTTTTTTTAAAGATTTTATTTATTTATTTGAGAGAGAGAGTGAGAGAGACAGAGCACGAGGGGGGAGCGGGAGAGGGAGAAGCAGACTCCTGCTAAGCAGGGAGCCCGATGCGGAACTCGATCCCGGGACTCCAGGATCATGACCTGAGCCGAAGGCAGTCGCTCAACCAACTGAGCCACCCAGGCGCCCATCTGTGTATCCTTTCAATTTTACCCTTTTATGTACCTGATGTTCACTGAGCTGTTACCACAATATATGCATATATAGTATTCTTATTTATTTTATTTGCCATTAAACATTAAACAGAATTACTTATTTTTGTTTTTTTAATAAGCTTTAATTTTTTTTTCTTTTTTAAAAAGGTTTTATTTATTTATTTGAGAGGAAGAAAGAGAGAGGGAGAGCATAAACGAGGGGAGGGGCAGAGGGAGAAACAGACTTCCCGCTGAGCAAGGAGCATTACATGGGGCTCAACCCCAGGACCCCGGGGTGCCTGGGTGGCTCAGTCGTTAGGCGTCTGCCTTCAACTCAGGTTATGGTCCCGGGGTCCTGGGATCGAGCCCCGCATCGGGCTCCCTGCTCAGCGGAAAGCCTGCTTCTCCCTCTCCCACTCCCCCTGCTTGTGTTCCCTCTCTCGCTGTGTCTCTCTCTGTCAAATAAATAAAATCTTTAAAAAATAAAAAAAAAAAAATAAACTGTTTCTAACTCAGAGGATGAAAATTTAAAAGTAGGGGCACCTGGGTAGCTCAGTTGATTAAGCATCTGCCTTTGGTTCTCAGGTCATGGTCCTGGGGTCCTGGGATCGAGTCCTGTGTCGGGCTCCCTGCTTGGTGGGAAGCCTGCTTCTCCCTCTCCCGCTCCCCCTGCTTGTGTCTCTCGCTGTGTCTCTCTCTCTCAAATAAATAAAATCATTAAAAAAAAAAAGACTCAGGACCCCAAGATCATGACCTGAGCCGAAAGTAAATACTTAACCAACTGAGCCACCTAGAAGTCCCAGTAAGATTTATTTTAAGCCACTTGTCCATTTTGATGAAGTTAAGGGCTAGAAAACATAATTATATAATTATAATTTCAATTAAAAGGCTCCTAAAAATTGCAACACATGGTGAACCATGAGAGCAGATATTGTGCCTCCTCTAGGCTCCATGTTGATGACTGACCCGTGAGTATCTGCTAGGGACCTGTTGAGGGTTCCATGTCAGCTCGCGTGTTCGTATTAATAAGCCTAACTTTCTTTTGATAGCTTTTTAAAAAAGATCTATTTATTTATTTGAGAGAGAGAGAGAAAAAGATTCCCCGCTGAGCTCAGGGCCCGACGCAGGGCTTGATCCCAGGATCCTGAGATCATGACCTGAGCCAAAACCAGGAGTCGGAGGCTTAACTGACTGAGCCACCGAGTCTCCCCTCTTTTGATAGTTTTAGAATAAGACATAAGTACAAAGGAGAGTCATGTGACCTGAAGTTGGAGAGCTGGGCAGAGGCCCTTGCACAGTGGTGAAGAGTTGCTTTATTTGATTTGATTTAATTTTTTTAAAGGTGAAAGTGTTTCTTTTTTTTTTTTTTTTTTTTTAAGATTTTATTTATTTATTTGAGAGAAAGAGCACAGAGGGAGAGTAAGAGGGAGAAGCAGGCTCCCCGCTGAGCAGAGAGTCTGACATGAGGCTTAATCCCAGGACCCCTAGATCATGACCTGAGCTGAAGGCAGATGTTTCACTGACTGAGCCACCTAGGTGCCCCGAGTTGCTTTATTTTACATGCAGAGAAACCATGGGCACTTTAAGAAGATGGTGATGGGTTCAGGTTTGTGTTGGAGAGATCACTGGAGCTTCTGCATGGAGATTGGATTGCACGTCACATTGCCCCAACACTTGAGCTGTTCCTTGTCCCTGGGGGTACAGAACTGTGACACAGCAGTGATCGGTCAGCACAGGGAGACTGACACCTCAGAACCATCCGGGGTCCAGGCAGGGGTGAGGGACTGGGGACTGCAGTCCATTCTTTGGTTGGTTACCCTATGGACATTGTGCCCCAGGGTGGTATGTTTTCTGATTTTTATTTTTATTTTTATTTTTAAGATTTTATTTATTTATTTGACAGAGAGAGAGATAGCGAGAGCAGGAACACAAGCAGGGGGAGTGGGAGTGGGAGAGGGAGAAGCAGGCTTCCTGCCAAGCAGGGAACCCGATGTGGGACTCGATCCCAGGACCCTGGGATCATGACCTGAGCCGAAGGCAGATGCTTAACGACTGAGTCACCCAGGAGCCCTGTTTTCTGATTTTTAAAGAGAAGCTAAAAATCTGTATATTTATAAGAAACCTAACTATTGAGTGAAATCTGACACCATGAGCCGCTCAAAGTAGGTAGGAGCCTGGATGCCCCAATTCTTTTTTTTTTTTTTAATTTAACTTTTACTTATTAACATACAGTGCAGTATTGTTTTCAGGAGTAGAATTCAGTGATTCATCACTTCCATACAACACCAAGTGTTCATCTTAACAGGTTCCCTCCTTAATGCCCATCACCCATCTATCCCATCCCCCTCAACCTTCCCTCCATCAACCCTCAGTTTGTTCTCCATTGTTGTTGTTGTTTTTTTTTAAGAAGAGGAGACCCCCTTCCTCTATTTTTTTTTTTTAAGATTTTATTTATTTATTTGACAGAGAGAGAGAGAGACATAGCGAGAGAGGGAACACAAGCAGGGGCAGAGGGAGAGGGAGAAGCAGGCTTCCCGCTGAGCAGGGAGCCTGATGCGGGGCTCGATCCCAGCACCCTGGGGTCATGACCTGAGCTGAAGGCAGACGCTTAACAACTGAGCCATCCGGGTGCCCCTGTTCTCCACTGTTAAGAGTCTCTTATGGTTGGGGCACCCGGTGGCTCAGTTGGTTAAGCTTCTGCCATTGGCGAAGGTCATGATCACGGGGTCCTGGGATCAAGCCGCACATCGGGCTCCCGGCTCAGTGGGGAGCCTGATTCTCCCTTTCCCTCTGCCCTTCCCCCCTGCTCATGCTCTCTCTCTCACTCATGCTTTCTCTCTCTCTCTCATGCTGTCTTCTTCTCTCAAATAAATAAATAAAATCTTTTTTTAAAAAAAAGAGTCTCTTATGGTTTATTTCCCTCTCTCCCTTTCCCCCACCCCGCTTCCCATATGTTCATCTGTTTTCTTTCTTAAATTCCACATGAGTGAAATCATATGGTATTTGTCTTTCTCTGACTTATTTCACTTAGCGTAATAACCCTCTAGCTGCATCCATGTTGCAAATGGCAAGATTTCATTCTTTTTGATGGTTGAGTAGTATTCCATTATATATATGAACCACATCTTCTTTATCTTTTAGTACCATCTTCTTTTAATACCATCAATTGATTGACATCTGGGCTCTTTCCATAGTTTGGCTATTGTGAACATTGCTGCTATAAATGTTGGGGTGCATGTACCCCTTTGAATCTGTATTTTTGTATCCTTCAGGTAAATACCTAGTAGTGCAATTGCTGGGTCATAGGGTAGCTGTATTTTTAACATCTTGAGGAGCCTCCAAACTGTTTTCCAGAGTGGCTGTACCAGCTTGCATTCCCCTCAACAGTGTAGGAGGGTTCCCCTTTCTCCACATCCTCGCCAACATCTGTTGTTTCCTGACTTGTTCATTTTTGCCAATCTGACCCATGTGAGGTGGTATCTCATTGTGGTTTTGATTTGTATTTCCCTGATGCCAAGTAATGTTGAGCATTTTTGCAAGTGTCTGTCAGCCACCTGTATGTCGTCTTTGGAAAAGTGTCTATTCATGTCTTCTGCCCATTTCTTAACTGGATTATTTGTTTTTTGGGTATTGAGTTTGATAAGCTCTTATAGATTTTGGATACTAACCCTTTATCCGATACATTGTTTGCAAATATTTTCTCCCATTTTGTAGGCTGCGTTTTAGTTTTGTTGATTATTTCCTTTGCTGTGCAGAAGCTTTTTATCTTGATGAAGTCCCAGGAGTTGATTTTTGCTTTTGTTTCCCTTGCCTCTGGCGACGTAGATGACTAATTCTGGATGGAAATGAAATTCACAAGGAAGCCAAGAGCCTGCCCCACTTTTCTTTTAAATTTAACCTATTTGCAGATTTGCAGTTGGCTTTGGACCAAACCTTTTTGACTGTTAGCTGGTCTTTTGGTTTTGTATATTTTTTTGCTTAACATATATCTTAAAATGTGAGTGTTTTTAAATTTAGTAATATTCTGTGAATATGTATATATGGTGCTACACCATTTTCATATCTGTGTGTCTTTGGGCCATATAATCTTCCAGGAGATTTACTCTAATTTCTCAGTCATTTCCCTCTTTAAAATTATCTTAGATTACTACCTTAAAAGAAAATTTTTTAAAAATATTTTATTTATTCATTTGAGAGACAGAGACAGAGATAGCGACAGAGAAAAGGAGTGGGGAGGGAGAAACAGGCTACCTACTGAGTAGGGAGCCCAACACAGGACTTGATCCCAGGACTCTGGGATCATGACCTGAGCTGAAGGCAGACGTTTAACTGACTGAGCCACCCAGGTGCCCCTTAAGTTTTTTTTTTTTAAAGATTTTATTTATTTGACAGAGAGAGAGAGACAGTGAGAGAGGGAACACAAGCAGGGGGAGTGGGAGAGGGAGAAGCAGGCCTCCCGTGGAGCAGGGAGCCCGATGCGGGGCTCGATCCCAGGACCCTGGGATCATGACCTGAGCCGAAGGCAGACGCTTAACGACTGAGCCACCCAGGTGCCCCAAGTTTTTTTTTTTAAGATTTATTTATTTATTTGAGAGAGAGCATGTGCGTGAGCTGGGGGAGGGACAGAGGGAGAGAGCCTTCAAGCAGACTCCCTGCTGAGTGTGGAGACTGGCAGCGGCTCGATCCCACCACCCCATAAGATCATGACCTGAGCCCAATTCAAGAGTTGGACTCTCAGGCCACCCACGTGCCCCTTCCTTTTAAAATTTTTTGATGTCGTAATAATGGTGTGGCTAATATCTTTGAGCAGAAAGCTCTTGTGTTCTTTTGAGAAATTTCTTTAGTCTAAATTCCCAGGAATGGAATAAAGGATATAATCATTTTATGATTAGTAGCCACATTCAAGGTATTTCTGCTGTTTTCTGAGTGTGTCCTGTCCTTAGAAACTTCCTAGCATCATATTTTAATTTCTCACTTTTGGCTTTTACTTGTTTTTAGGGGAGAGTGGCCCTCCTTTCTTCTTTGCATTGGGTGGGCCCCTGCTGGGTCCTCACGGCTCTGCCCTGCTCGGCAGGTGGAGGAACATGTCAGCCGCATCCGCGAGGAGCTGGACCGTGAACGTGAGGAGCGCAACTACTTCCAGCTGGAGCGGGACAAGATCCACACCTTCTGGGAGATCACGCGGAGGCAGCTGGAGGAGAAGAAGGCCGAGCTGCGGAACAAAGACCGGGAGATGGAGGAGGCTGAGGAGAGACACCAGGTTGAGATTAAGGTAAGTGGGGCTGACCTGCCCATCCCTGCTGGACTTACCACATGGCACAGAGGAGCTGCACAAGGGGTGGGGGGCATTTTCTCTCCTTCCTCTGGGGGTTGCAGGGCTTTGTATCCTTTACAGTGGGAAACAGGTATTTTTTGTAGAAGGGTATGTGTGTGCAGGGGAGCCCGCATGTGCAGGGGTGTGTGAGTGTGCAGGTGTGTGTGTGAGTGTGCAGGTGTGTGTGTGCAGGGGAGCCCGCATGTGCAGGTGAGTGTGCAGGGGAGCCCGTATGTGCAGGCGTGTGTGTGTGAGTGTGCAGGGGAGCCTGCACGTGCAGGGGTGTGTGTGAGAGTGTGCAGGTGTGTGTGTGAGTGCAGGTGTGTGTGTGAGTGTGCAGGGGAGCTAGCATGTGTAGGTGTGTGTGAGTGTGCAGGTGTGTGTGTGAGTGTGCAGGTGTGTGTGTGAGTGTGCAGGGGAGCTAGCATGTGCAGGTGTGTGTGTGTGAGTGTGCAGGTGTGTGTGTGCAGGGGAGCCCGTATGTGCAGGCGTGTGTGTGTGAGTGTGCAGGCGTGTGTGTGTGAGTGTGCAGGCGTGTGTGTGTGAGTGTGCAGGTGTGTGTGTGTGAGTACAGGGGAGCCTGCACGTGCAGGGGTGTGTGTGAGAGTGTGCAGGGGAGCCCGCACGTGCAGGGGTGTGAGTGTGCAGGTGTGTGTGTGAGTGTGCAGGGGAGCTAGCACGTGCAGGTGTGTGTGTGAGTGTGCAGGTGTGTGTGTGCAGGTGAGTGTGCAGGGGAGCCCGTATGTGCAGGCGTGTGTGTGTGAGTGTGCAGGTGTGTGTGAGTGTGCAGGGGAGCCTGCACATGCATGTGTGTGTGTGTGAGTGCAGGGGAGCCTGCACGTGCAGGGGTGTGTGTGAGAGTGTGCAGGGGAGCCCGCACGTGCAGGGGTGTGAGTGTGCAGGTGTGTGTGAGTGTGCAGGGGAGCCCGCATGTGCACGTGTGTGTGTGTGTGCGGGTGCGTGTGAGAGAGTGTGCAGGTGAGCAGGCGGTGCTCCCACTGCGCACAGGTCTACAAGCAGAAGGTGAAACACCTGCTGTATGAGCATCAGAACAACTTGACGGAGGTGAAGGCCGAGGGCACCGTGGTCATGAAGCTGGCGCAGAAGGAACACCGCACACAGGAGGGCGCACTGCGCAAGGACATGCGGGCGCTGAAGGTGGAGCTCAAGGAGCAGGAGCTGACCAACGAGGTGGTGGTGAAGAACCTGCGGCTGGTAGGTGTGAGGGTCCCCGGTGCCTGACTGGCCGCTGGGAACTGTGAACTCCTGATTATTCAACACAACTGGGGATTCATATTTTGTTAGAAGTTTCCTGCATTTTGGCAATTAATTAAAATATTAAAAAAAAAAAGCAGGCAGCCAGATAAATCCCATTTGGGAGCCAAGTATAGAATCGTGTCTTAGACTTGAACAACAAATTGACTTCCCAAGAGGAAAGCCAGCTCAGGGTCCGTCTCCACGTGCTGCTGACACCTGGCTGTTCTCCCAAGGAGTCTGTCGGGCGTTTAGAAAAACACACAACCATTAAAGTGTCCAGCATGCTAGCCCCTGTGTGGCCGTGGCAGTTCTCATGCAAGCTGGGCTCATGAGCACCTGGCTGACTTTTTGGTCCTTTCTGGGGGAGGCTGGGGGAGGTTCCAGGTGGAGGTTGAAATTCATGTGCTGAGTGCCCATAAGGTGCCAGGCCCTGTTCTGATCTCTGGGGACATACGGGGAACAGAACTGACGGAATGACTGCCCACGTGTGTTTGATGGTCCAGGAAGGAGACAGAAGACAGAATACAGTGTTGAATACATCTAGCATACCCACAGGCGGGAATGCTGCGGGAAGGGCAAAGCAGGGAAGACGGTGCTGGGGATCGAGGCGGGGCTTGCATTTTTCCACAAGGAGTTCTGGGAATGCCTCACTGAGAAGGTGACATTTGGGCAAAGGTTAGAAGGATGGGTTGCTGAGCCAGGCTTGGGGAGACCAGGTCTCAAGAAGGGAGAGGGGATGGGCCAGTGTGAAGGCCCAGAGGAAAAGGGGGCAAGGAGGCCGGGGAGATGGGTCAGGGCTCGTCGGCATCAAAAGCCACAGTGAGGCTTAGCCTTTGACCCGGGCTGAGCTGGGGGACCTTTGGAGGATTTGGGCAGAGGGAAGATGTGTCCAACTTTGGTTTTCTAAGGCCCTTTCCTGGCTGCGGGTTGAGAAGACTTTGTCAGCACATTTGCCTCATGCCTGGAGGCAAGCCAGCCTCCACTGAATCTGGAAAAAATTCAGTAACGGTGCAGGCTTTGCAGCCTTGGTCCACAAGAATTGTCTGGTCTTTGCTGACCCAAGTACAGCCTGGGCTGGTTTCCAGTGAATTTAGTGACGTGAGGCTTTCTGCTTACCTGAGGCCTGGATTTGGAATAGTTACCTGGTCAGTTCCCCTTTGTGCAAAAATATTCCTCTAAAAAATAATCTCAATTTTTTATTCAAAATGTTCATCTATAACTGTCAGAATAATTTTTAATACTGCTCTAAGCCACCACTGGAGCAGGTTAGCAGGCATCTGGAGAGAACCCGCAGCTCTGTGTAGACACGGCCAGCGGTCTTCAGCCTGTGGGCAGATTGAGCCAAGGGCCAAGCACGGTTAGTGTTTGGAACATGTGTTCACTTTCTCTCGAGCTCCGAGGTGACTTTGGCTGAGGGAATTGATTCATGAAACATGGAAGTTACCAAAACCACGTTACTCTGAGCATGGTGCATGAGCTTGGCCATGAGGGGAACCCAGCACCCATCAGAAACAGCGCAGGGTTTACTGAGCTGGATTTTCCATACGACTGAGGAGCCAGGCCAGCCCCAGGGAGAGGCTTCTGTGTGTGTCTGTCACCTGGTAACGGCCGGCTTCTCTGCCTTTGCAGAAGCACACGGAGGAGATCACCAAGATGCGGAACGACTTTGAGAAGCAGGTGCGAGGTCAGTTTCTAATGTGCACGCTGTGTGAGATGGTGACAGGGCCCCTCCCGTCGGAAGGTCATTTACCTTCAGGGCTTGTTACCCCAGGGCACAGAAACCAGGTTGAAGCGGCCCAGACACGCCAGGAGAAGATGTGATAGTTTCCAAGGCTGACGGACGGCTCAGAATCCCAGAACATCTTATTTCCACACAGGCTGGGAGGCTGTGATTGCCACCTCCTTCCCCACTTCTGGTACAAATCGGCAGATAGAAGCAGTGGCAGTTTTGAGTCTCGTGGGCAGTATTCCTAGAATAGTCTTTTCCACGGCTGCTGGCCTGAGAGGCCTCCCGTTTGAGGAGTCTGTCTGGTTTACTGATGCAGCTTGTCGTCCGGCAGGCTGACCACAGGATCAGCTGACGCTCAGTTGGTGGGAACCCTAATGCCGGGAGCCATGCCTGCTCCAGGCAAAGGAAGGCTGACCGTGGTGTGTGTGTGCTGAATGCGTCAGCTGTGAGCTTGGGTGCACAGCCCTCGTGCTGGTGGCTGTTCTTGGGCCATGTCTGTCAGTTCTGTCTCTTCCTGTAGCCATTGGGCCCCCTGTTCCTCCGTGTGCTTCTGCCTTTCAGAAATTGAGGCCAAGTATGATAAAAAGATGAAGATGCTTAGGGAGGAGCTTGACCTGCGGAGAAAGACCGAGATCCATGAGGTGGAGGAGAGGAAGAACAGCCAGATCAACATGCTGATGCAGCGGCACGAGGAAGCCTTTACGGACATCAAGAACTACTACAATGACATCACCCTCAACAACCTGGCCCTCATCAACTCCCTCAAGGTGCCGCTCAAGGGCTGGCCAGACCAGGCATCCAGACGCTAGCCCCCAGCCCGTCGGGCCCCACACCCCTACTTAGACAAATACCTGTTGTCCTTGATGGGACTTCATCGGTCACATGACCTCTGCACCCTTACAGCTGGAAACAGCACATAGTACACAGTGCAGGGGGCTAATGGAACAGGGGCACCTGCTGGGCAGAAGCTTGCACAGAGCTGCAGTGGGAGCCGCAGGGTGGCCCCACGGGTGGCGGTGTCATCAGGCAGGGGCTGGGAGTGACTGTCCCCGCCGCGGGGAGCGCCCTCCGGTCCTGAGCACAGTGTGACCTCTGTTGGTGTGGAGGCGGCATTCCTAGAAAATTCAGAATAAGTTCAGATAGTGCAGAATTCCCCTGTGTGGATACATAAAACGGGTCTGGGACTTCAGGACTGTCCTTTGTGGGCGGGAGGGCCTGCGGCCCTCACCCCTGAAGACCACAGCCCCCTCAGCTCTGCCCGCTGAACCCCGTGCACACCTGTCCTGGTGCTGACAGGAGCAGATGGAGGACATGCGCAAGAAGGAGGACCACCTGGAGAAGGAGATGATGGAGGTGTCCGTGCAGAACAAGCGCTTGGCAGACCCCCTCCAGAAGGCTCGCGACGACATGAACGAGATGCAGAAGAAGCTCAGCAACTACGAGAGGGACAAGCAGATCCTGCTTGTGAGTTTCCTCCTCAGTTCCCCTCCCTCGCACTTTCTCCTGGGCTCCGGACAGGAGAACATCAGCAGGATGTCTCCTGAGACCCAGAGCAGGGTTTGGCCTTCTGGGCAGGAACGGGGTCTCTCCTTTCTTTGACTGGTGTCCTCCATGGATGGGATGTGAAGTTGGTGCCTGTTCTGGGAGACATTCCCCACCCCCAGCCTGCTGTTGTCGGGGCACAGCTGCCTGTGTCTTTGAGCCAGTTCTTCCTCCCTCCTCCCTCCTCCTCCCTCCTCCTCCCTCCTCTTCCCTCCCTCCCTCCTTCCTTCCTTCTTTCTTTCCCTCCCTCCCTCCCTCCTCCCTCCCTCCTTCTTTCCTTCCTTCCTTCCTTCTTTCCCTCCCTTCCTTCCTCCCTCCCTCCCTATTTCTTTCCCTCCCATTTTTCCCTCCTTTCTTTCCTTTTTTTTTTTTTTTTAAAGATTTTATTTATTTATTTGAGAGAGAGAGAATGAGAGAGAGCGAGTACATGAGAGGGGGGAGGGTCAAAGGGAGAAGCAGACTCCCTGCCGAGCAGGGAGCCCGATGCGGGACTCGATCCCGGGACTCCAGGATCATGACCTGAGCCGAAGGCAGTCGCTTAACCAACTGAGCCACCCAGGCGCCCATCCTTTCTTTCCTTCTTTAGCAATCTACACCCAATGTGGGGCTCGAACTCATGACCCTGACATTAAGAGTCACCAGGCGCCCTTGAGCCAGCTCCTTGTGATGATTACTTTTGGGCTTGCCTGTGTTCTGTGGATGCCTGATCCCGAATACTTTTTGTGTCCTACCCTTGTTTTCTCTACAGTGCACAAAAGCACGTTTGAAGGTCACCGAGAAGGAGCTGAAGGGCCTGCAGTGGGAACACGAGGTGCTCGAGCAGCGGTTCCTCAAGGTGAGCAGATGCCAGGCTGGTCCTGCCGAGAGCAGGGAGGGCCTCTTCTTGTTGCCCTGGCTCTGCGACCAGTTCCGGGAGTTGTCGAAGCTGTGGCTGGAGTCCTGCTGCCTGCTCCTCATCCTACAAGGCTTGATGAGGCAATGGGGAGAAAGCTGCAGCACATTCTGTGGAAGGCCCAGGGTCTCACCGAGAGCAGGTGCCCTGGTGGAGACAGTCGCTCCCAGTCCTCTTTCCCACAGGCTCACCTGTGAGATACATGCAGGGCACCTGGCCCCTTGTGTCTGGGCTCCTTTTCTTCTGTATACACGTCTCTCAGTCCTGGGGGGTTAGGCGCGCCTTGGAAGGAAGTCATGGGGTGCTGTCTGTAGTGAACGTGCGAGGGCCCTCCTGCCGCTCAGCGGGGTCCGCACCATTGGTAGCTGGTGGCAGCTCCCTGAGTCCTTGCAGACTGCTTCCTGTGTGTCCTCGTGACCGTGTGGCCTGAAGGCTGTTCATGCAGCCAGCTCCCCTGGACGGAGGGCGCTGCTGTAGTCCACTGCTGTTGCAAACATGCAGCCACGGTCATCCTTTCAAGTTTATCTTTTCTTTAAAAGATTTTATTTATCTCTTTATTTATTTATGTGACAGAGAGACACAGCAAGAGAGGGAACGCAAGCAGGGGGAGCGGGAGGGGGAGAAGCAGGCTTCCCGCCGAGCTGGGAGCCCGATGCGGGGCTCGATCCCAGGACCCTGGGATCATGACCTGAGCCGAAGGCAGACACTTAACTGACTGAGCCACCAGGCGCCCACACAGGCGCCCCGAGTGTTTACTTTTTATACTTCTGCAAGGTCTTGCTTTTTTACGATGCACAGTGAAAAGTAAAGGAATTGGAAGCTGAAAAAGAACACCTTTATTTATAATAGGCAGTTGGCTGCAGAGTTGTTCTCTAGATCTGCTATTTGTGGGGCACGCTGACCTGTGGGGTTCTGGGATCTGGGGCTGGCCGAGGGCCTGGGTCCCTAGGAGCCTCCCTTCCCCAAACACTGCTCGCTGGAGTTTGATGCCTTTGATCCCACGTAGGGGTGATCAGGGATGTGTCTTTCCTGATCGTCCTGCCCAAACCCCGGGCCCCAGCCCCTCTGTGGTGCTTCTCCAGCTCTAAGCGGGGTACCCTGTTGCTTCCTGAAACAGCTTAGTAGAGGTGGGTCCAGCTAGTGTTTCCTCCTGCCTTCCACAGTGTAGACGGCTGCATGCCTTTAATTCCGTCACAGAGAGTGGGCGTGCAGGCGGTGTAGACAGCATACAGACCCACCCACCCGTGGGGGGACCCAGGTGCAAGGGGTTCACTCTGCAGAAGAGGTATGTTCTGGTCCAGGGGCAGAGGTGGGAGGCGGCTTCTCCCCAGCGAGATGCCCCCAGGGCAGGTGGCCTCTTTGTCCCCCACAGCCTGTCCCTTGCAGGTGCAGCAGGAGCGGGACGAGCTGTACAGGAAGTTTACTGCGGCCATCCTGGAGGTGCAGCAGAAGGTGGGTTTCAAGAACCTGGTTCTGGAGCGGAAGCTGCAGGCACTGAGTGCTTCTGTGGAGAAGAAGGAGGTGCAGTTCAGTGAGGTGCTGGCGGCCTCCAACCTGGACCTCGCGGCGCTGACCCTTGTGTCCCGCAAACTGGAGGTGGGTCCCAGGCTGCAGCCTCCCGTTCTTGTCCCCTAGCGGGTGTCCGGGGCTTGGGTTGGGGCCGCGTGTTTGATGCGTGTGTGTCCAGCCTCCGTCACTCCAGTGGAGACCTTCTGGTAACACTGGGGAGGGGCCGTCATGGGTTTCCTGTGGCCGGAGCACAGATGGGGCTTGCAGACGTCTGCTCACAGCCTCCCCAGGCTCTCTGTTGCTCGGTGTTTCCCCAGTCCCCTCCTTAACCTCTTGACACCTTCTGGCCCTGAGCCCACTGCCCATCCAGTGCTCAGGCTGGGTTTAGCTTAGCCTGTCAGGCCCCGGGTCTCTCAAGCTGCTCTCAAAACTCAGGGCCTGCACTCCTCAGACGTCTGGTGACAAACCTAGAGATAGGCCTGGGGGACAGCCGGGCCCATGAGCTCGTAGCCAAGGCCACGGCCACAGTCCGCCGGGGATGCGAGGATGTCCTTCTTGATGTAGGCTGTGGGCAGTCAGGATGGGGACATACAGGGCTGTGTGGCAGGCGCTGGGGCAGGCTTCCCAGAGGGAGTTAAGGTCTGAGCAGAGGCTAGAGCATTTGTCCAGTCGTGAGTTCACGGTTCTGTGTGGTGGTCCTCTCTGGGGGGGCTGTCTTGGGCACAGGGGAGAGCATTAAACAAGACAGATGAGGCCTGGGCGCCCACGGACAGGAATCAGAACAGCGATCACCAGGCAGAAGCCTGCCAGCACCTGGCAGGTCATCTCCTGCCCGGAGCTGGGCCTTGTGTCTGTTCCCTGGGCCTCGCTAGGACGTGTCACAGAAAGAACGGACAAGGGGTCTTTGTTGCTGCTGGGAAGTGGTTGTGCTGGGATCCTGGCCACCTGGGTGACCTGCAGCCTCCAGGCCTGAGGCGGCCCCAGGTGCAGGGCCCTTGGGGGTCTGCACATCTCCATAGGGAGGCCCAGGGAGGGGCGGCCAGCTTGTCCCAGAGACAGATCCTTCCAGGCTGGAGGGTGCCTCCTCTGCTCTTCCTTCACAGAGAAACTGAGTCAGGGGCTTAAGGAGGCTTCACTGTACAGGTAGGTGTGTGTGTGTATGTGTGTGTGTGTGTGTTTAAGATTTTATTTATTTATTTGACAGAGATAGAGATAGTGAGAAAGAGAGCACAAGCAGGGGGAGCTGCAGGCAGAGGGAGAGGGAGAAGCAGGCTTCCCACCGAGCAGGGAGCCCGATGCGGGGCTCGACCCCAGGACCCTGGGATCATGACCTGAGCTGAAGGCGGACATGTAACGACTGAGCCACCCAGGCGCCCCGTGCAAATACACAGACAGCATTTTTCAGGTGATTTGTCAACATGCAGTAACCCCGTCTGCTCACATGGCACCCAGGCTCAGAGGAGTAACTGTGTCGGGTCACCTAATCTTTTCTTAAAGCCCTTTCGGGGTGCCTGAGTGGCTCAGTTGATTACATGCCTGTTTGACTCTTGGTTTCCGCCCAAGTCCCGATCTCATGACCCGTGAGATTGAGCCCTGTATCGGGCTCTGCGCTCAGTGTGGAGTCTGCTTGAGATTCTGTCTCTCCCTTGCCCTCTTCCCCTCCCCCGCTCTTAGGCACACGTTCTCTCTCTCTCTTTCAAATACATAAATCTTAAAAAAAAAACCCAAAACACCGTAGGCTGGCTTGCTTCCCGCCTGGCCTTGACCTGAGGCTTGCAGCTCCCAACAGTGCTGTTGGACACGTGTGAGCGCCTTGCTGCTTGGGTGTTGGGGGGAATGCAAGGCTGAGGGGAGGAGGGCAGAGCCGGCTGGATGGGAGTGGTTCCGAAGCGTGTTGGGTGTGCCTGAGTTTGAGGCTGGTGAGGAACCATGGAAGGTTCTGGGTGGGGTGGACTGGATCAGACAGAGCCTCCCCTGGGAAGGCAGGAGGTGAGCTGGCCCCGATGCGGGATGAAGGACTTGTTGCTGATGGAAGAGGGCTGAGGAGTCCAAGGAGACATGGTGCCCATTTCCGGCTGAGACCAGATGTTGCTCCTGGGCAGTCGCGAGTCCCGGCTCGGCGGGCGGCAGGGCCTGTGGGGCCAGAGTCACCTGGGACAGGCTCTCGGGGCCTCGTGTGGGCTGGCAGCACTGTGGACCGGGGTCTGGGGGCCCGTCTCTATCCTTGTATCTTTGTACCTACTTGTGAACTCTGCCAGGCAGGGAGTGAGGGCGCTCTTGGAAACGGGAGAGCTTTCCCGCCTCTGCTGTTGGGAAGGGCGCCTGGTCTCGGAGCTGGGTGAGGCTGTTGCCAGCAATCATGATGAGGGGATAAAATCAGTCCCATCCATAGTGGTCACTGCAGCTGTGTCCATGGGCCAGGGCCTTTCCTGGTCAATTCCCTGGCTTGCCTGGAGGAACCCTCCTAGGAGGCAGGTGGGGGCTCAAGGGCCCTTCCCTGGACCGTTGGTGGCCTGGCTTCTCTAAACTCTTGTCCTCACTTCCCACCATCTAGACGGTTTCCTTACAGAGAGAGAGGCTTATCCTATTTTTCCCTTTCTCCTTTGAAGACCTTTCTGTGCTAGCTGGCTGCTCCCTGTGTGGACGTCTACACTGATGGAGCCCGGCTGCTATTCCCTGGATGTCTGAGGTCTCCTGCTGGAGCTTCCAGACCCCCACCAACCCCTGTCTCCTTCAGCCCAAAGACAGGCTCAAACTCACATCCACCTTTCTCTCCTTAGGATGTTCTAGAATCAAAGAACAACACTATCAAGGACTTGCAGTATGAGCTGGCCCGGGTCTGCAAGGTACCAGGAGCCCCCCTGCCCCTCTCTCAGGGCCCCACCTTATCTACACTTTGGAGGTAGACACAGCCTGAGGCTGTCTGTGCTGTCTCAGGTCACTGTGTGTGGCCTGGGCCACTTCCCCACAACTCTGGCCACTGTCCTGGTGTCCCTTACAGGGACTGCCCAGGGGATATCTGGTAAATGAGGGCAATTTGTTTGTCCAGCACACTCTGTTCCTGTCTCCCATCTGACCCTTGCTGTCGGTGACGTGGCCTCTGGGGTGATTGGATGGGCTTCCTTTGCTTCCTCCACGCAGGGGACAGTTACAAGTCTAACTTTCTCTCCCTCCTTTGTAAGTCTGATGAAAGCTGCACACCCTATCCACACCAAAACCACGCATCAGCATGGAAGCCTCCTGCAGCTGGGGAGGGGCAGTGGGTGCCTTGAGCCTGCTGTTGTCTGCCCCGTGTACCCAAGAGGCCTGGGCCCTCTCCCCAGTGGTCCCGCTTCCATGAGCCCACAGCTATCTGGGCTTTGCCTGTGGGGAAAACAGACATAGTGCTGCCTCCAGATACATTTACCTCGAGCAGCCACCCCACGAGTATGACTCAGATAAGCCTGTAAATATGCAGGGTGGAGGTTGCTTTGTGGTTCTGTGCGCCCTGGGTGTGGAACCCCAGGAGGGAGGGAGTGCCTGTCATTGGCGCTGGGTTCCATGGTGACCAGATCTCGCTGGGCCTCTCCTTGGCCCTGCCCCCCCGGGCCCTTCCCTTAGATGCTGCGCATCCCCTGATATTTACACGCACAACATTAGGGCCATTTACTGTGTGCACTTCTGGGGGAATGTCCATTACTTGTACCTGATTGTCAGGAGGTCCGTCCCCCAGAGAAGGGTGAGAGCCAGGCCCCAGGCCCCAAGTTTTCTCTGGAGCTTGGCCATAGTTCACCCTTGAAATCTCAGTTCCAAGCTCCAGCAACCCTTTTCTTGATGATGGTGAGGATAATGAGCCCTTTTGGGCTTTGGATCTGAGTCAGGCCAGGCTCCAAGCTTCTCACATGCATCAGCTCTTCAAACCCTTACAACCATCTGATGCAATTCACTCTTTAAAAAATAGCCGTTTCCGGGGCACCTGGGTGGCTCAGTCGTTAAGCGTCTGCCTTCGGCTCAGGTCATGATCCCAGCATCCTGGGATCGAGCCCCACGTCGGGCTCTCTGCTCCGCGGGACGCCTGCTTCTCCCTCCCCCACCCCCCCTGCTTGTGTTCCCTCTCTCGCTGTGTCTCTCTCTGTCAAATAAATTTAAAAAAAAAATCTAAAAAAAAAAAAAAAAAAAAAAAAAATAGCCGTTTCCCAGAGTGGGGAATAGGAACCATGCCTCCCGTTGGCCCCAGCAGCACTGTTGCCCAGACCTTAGCCTTCCTGGGGTGGGGGGCAGGAGATACCATCAGACAAAGCAGGGAGGCTCAGTGAGGCCGAGCACGTACACGTGCAAGGTCATGTCCGGGAAGTCAAAATGACCAGTTTGATTGACGAATGCCTGAAGAGGAACCAGGAGCGTGTTCAGACCACAGTTCTGCTGAGTCTGTATCTTCTGCCTCAGTCTCCCCATCTTTGAAATAGGAACAACGGCAGCATCTCCCATTGTGAATTACTTGAGTTCATGTACATAGAAGTGTTTATGACGCAGGTGTGGTGTACTGTGAGCCACTGGTTAAGGTCAGCTTTACAGTTTTCCACTGTCATCCTCCCGCGTCCTCCAGAGCTGAGGGGGCCTGGGCTAGAGTCAGCCTCGGTGCGGCCTCGCCCCCTCCCCTGATGCCGCTCTGACCCTGCAGGCCCACAATGACCTGCTGCGCACCTATGAGGCGAAGCTCCTGGCCTTTGGGATCCCTCTGGACAACGTGGGCTTCAAGCCTCTGGAGACGGCTGTGATCGGGCAGACGCTGGGCCAGGGCCCTGCAGGGCTCGTGGGCACCCCGACCTAGTGCTTGCCCAGGACTGCTCCCTGGATGACCTTCCCTTTCACCAAGGACAGGAACTGTTTTTTTTTTTAGATTTGTATCATCTACAAATAAAGGTTTTCTACATTTGCTATGTGTCCTGTTGCCTTGCTGTGTGGAAGAGAGGCACCTCCCGGGCCCACGGTACCCTGACCACTTCCTTCCCTGCTGCCCGTCCGGTCTGTGCATACCCCTGCCCTCCCTCCCACCTCGGGGCCAGGGCAGCACCAGCTGAGCCCAGGGACTGCAGCAGCCTTCCAGATACCGACACCGACTTTACTGAGGCCTGAGACTCAACGGCTACTGGAGGTGGAGGGCCAGAATCTCCCACAGGGAGATGCCCTGCTGCCCTCTCTTGGGGTGTCTCAGGGAGCCGTGGGGATGGGATCAGTGCTCACAGGCCCGCAGCTGGCCAGAGGTGATGGCCCGGCCACTAGCTCCCTCGATACGTGGTGTAGGACCATGGGCTCAGCAGCAGGGGCACGTGGAACCGGTGGGTCTCGTCAGTGATGGTGAAAACAACCTGAGAAGCAGAGAAGGCACCGGAAGAGAGTGAGGGGCTCGTATGCAGCACGCAAGCAGCCCAGACTGTGGGCCAGGGGCAGAGTTAAGCGGGGCCAGCTGGGGCTTGTGGAAAGCTGGAAACCTGGCCAGGGCTGCAATGCGGCTGAATCCTCTCTGGAGAGAGTCATCGACTTGAGGAACCCAAAAGATCCACCTTGAACAGGGTCAGGTGAGTGCCTTTGTCCACAGGGGCTGAGTCACTTTGGGCCCTGCCCCCCACAGCCTCACCCAGGGACAGGGCAGGGACGGGTGTGTTGTGGTAAAGTCCCTGGACACCTTTTTTCTGGGAGCTCAAAGCTGTGGACTCACTGCTACTGCCCTGGGAGAGGTGGGAGGGGTAGGACCAGCCTGCCCACTGCAGGGACCTGGGTGAGTCACGGGCCTCCACCGTGGGCCCTCACCTCCACGTATGGGTAGAAGCTCTCCTGCCCCCTCTTCTTCCAGTAGCCCTCGGTGTCAAAGGACAGCTTGTAGGTGCCTGCCTTCATCGCGCCTGGTGGCAGGAGCCCTGGGCAGCGGCCGTCCGAGTCGGTGTAGCTGGGGAGAGTGGAGGGAGGGGTTGGTGAGGACTCGCCCCTGCTTGGTCCTCCAGGGTCTGCATGGCCAGGGGCCTCAGACTCCCCCACAGCAGGTCTAGGGCCTGGGGTCCCGGAGGAGCTCAGGGACACCACTGCACTGTCTTTGTAGACAGAACTCCCAATACAGAGAAGCAGAAAAGTAAAAAAAACACAAAAAAACCAAACCTATTTTATGAGCAACAATCCCTTTATATTGGCATATATTTTTCCAGATTTTCTCTACACATAACTGCTTATTTGTAAACTTAGGAAAATACCCTAAAATGGATTATACTGTACATACTGTTTGATAACTTGTACTTTTCATTTACTACACTGCGTGTGGCTTTCTAGCCAGTAACTGTACCCACACCCCCATCTGCATGGTGGCCAGTGTGCCCTGCACGGAGTGTCCGAATGGAGGGCCTGTCACTTTGCTCACCGATTTATGCCCCCTCCCCGGTCACCCCTGGAGAGCCCTGGCATCGTTCCCACCAGCTGTGATTCAAGTTTCTGTCCTGTACCCACAGTTTATGGGGGGTTGGGAATGGGTCTATGTGACCCTCCAGGGGACTCCATGGATTCTTTTAGGACCAGAGCAGGCCACTCAGATGGGACCTGGACCCCCAGCCTCGGTGAAGGGCGGGGGATGAGCTCCATGCCCTCGGGCCCTGAACCTTTGGGGCCCAGCCGCCCACTCCCACCACCAGAGGGAGCCTGCCTCCTTGGAGAGGCTCACAGGGCAGCTACCAGGCGGTGCCTGAACCTGGGGCCAGGGCCCCCCGTCCTGCTGAGGGGCCCAGCCGCCAGGCGAGGCATGGGATCCCAGCTTTTACTTACCTCTTGCTGTCTCAGTCTCCCCATCTATAAAAGGGGTAATTATGGGGCCTGCCCACAGGCTGTAGTGAGAATAAGAAGAGAAGTAATGTGCTCAGCTGCCTGGCACAAAGTTACCTGTTAATCACAGTGACCATGAGGCCCTTGGGTTACACCTTAGCCTTAGCCAGCCCTGCCCTCAGGGAGAGGCACTGGGGCTGTGAGGCTGAGGGGACCACACCACAGCCGTCAGCACTCACTGGCTGGCTGCGTTCTTCTCCTTGCCCCGGGCTTTGGAGAGGTGGTCTGGACTCACCTCCCACTCAGACCTCAAGCCTACCTTTTCCTCAGCTCTGTCCACTGCCGGCCATGGTCCTCAAACCTAGACAGACAGAGGCAGAGGCCCTGGGCCGGAAGCCCCGAGGCAGTGTCCAGCACGTGTGTGGTCAGCGGGCTGCTGGTCGGCTCCATGCCTCTGCCCTGCGCCCCAAGAGAGGGACAGAATGAGCACGTGGGGCCCAGCCTCGTGTCCACACTGGCCCTAGAGCTGGACCCTGGGGGCGGGGTGGCTAGGAGCTGCTGAGTCAGCCGCGGAGGCTGTGGGGTTAACACACTGAAAGACGGTTGATAAACAATGCCGGCCAGCCCCCCACTCCGCCACACCAACTCCTACCGGGCCCCCTCCCCTCCGTCCGGACACTGAAGGGCATCTCCGCGCAGAGGCCCCCCACTCCAGCCACTCCGTGCCGGCTGCGGGTGGCCGGACCCGGGGTGCTCGTTCTCCCGGAGTCCAGCCCTCTGTCCCCTGGCTCAGGGGTCACCTGGGACCTTAGCCCTGGCCCTGCTGACGAGCCGGAACCAGCTCGGGGCCTACCCCCTACCTCCGAGGAGCCCAGGTGTCGCTGGAGCGCCCGCAGTCTCGGAGCGGCCCGCATCAGTCTCCCCCAGAACGGGAGCTGGTCCCGGGGTGCAGGCGCCTCCCCGAGCCCGCCCTTGCCCGGACCCTGGCCCCTCCCAGGGCCCAAGAGCCACGTGTCCGACCAGACCCAGGCTGGGGGCCGCGTCCCTCTGGCGGGGAGGGCGGCTCCACTCGGGGTCCACCTGGGGTGTCCCAGGGGCTTCGCTGCAGGGGTGGGGTGGGGGGCGACAGGGGCGCACTGACCTGCGGGGGCCGCGGAGGCTCCGCCCAGGACCGGAAGTGGAGTTGAGGGCACCTGCGGGAGGTGGGGTGTGGGGCGGGGGCGGGGGCGGGGGCGGGTCCGGGGCGGGGCTGGGTCCGTTCCGGGGGCCGGTGGGGCTCCGGGCAGGGCTGGACGGGTTGGGGTCCAGGCGGGTCGGGGCCGCGGGCGCAGGGCCGGGAGGTCGGGGACGCGCGTGAGCCGGACACCGCTCCAGGAGTCCCAGAACTACGTTTTGTTTTTTGTTTGTTTTTCCCCTTCGACGGGGCAGTAAGGATTTTGATGGCAGCCCCTCAGAGGGGGCAGAAGAGTTTTGCGGTACTGACTGCCCCGAGAGACCACGTGGTGGTGCCTCAGTTTCCTCTTCTGTAAAATCAGGGCAGTAAGGACTCCCGAGGTTGAGAAGCTCTCTGAGCTGTCGCTCTGGTGGCGCTGCCCCCCTCCCCTTCCCGGCCCCCACCCCTAAGCAGGCTCTGCACACTGACGGGTTCGGGCCTGGGCTGCGCGGTAGGGAGAAAAGGGACAGCTGAGTATTAAAATTATATATATAACATTTTATGCAAGGTAAGTAAAGATAAGGGCACCCTATTATATTTAAAATCTGGAAAGGTCTACACGACCAGTTAGTTGGTCGACTGCTGTGTTGCTCTGGATATGGGAGCTGTTTCCTTCCTGTCAAAGTGCATTTTCTAATTACTGGAGAGTGAGCGCCCACTATGTGTAGGTTAGGCATCAGACCCCTTCGAGGCAGGGAAGGAGACCCTCCTAGCAAAGGGTGGGAGTGTGCTGGTTACACTTATTTGAGATTTAAACACATGTGACGTTTGGGCAAGATTATGTTTATAGGAGATAACCCCAAACAGATGCTCACACCTGTTTTTGCAAACACCCATGGATACAATAGACAAGAAACAACCAGACTGTCTCCACTGGGGACAATTAAATAAACAAGCCCTGTTCCGGACCCGCATGTTCTGCAGTCCATTGAAAAGAATGAGGCCCATTTGTGTGCAAAATGAACAGTCTCCGGGGTGGTGACTGGTGGCAAGGCATAAATGGGTGTGGCAAGGTGGAGGTGTCTGTAGTTAGCTCGAGTGTGTATATCGCTTCCACTACATTAAAAAGATTCGTTCATTTAATCCTCATGACAGCTTCATGATGTCAGTGGTATTAGCCCCATTTTACAGAGGAGGCACAGAGAGGCTCTGTATTAGGATATTTTCTAGTATGAGACACAGAAAACTTACACCAGTGACCATCTCTGGGATGAGCACTTGTGGATGGGGTTAGCTCTTGCCCTGTAAGTCCTTTTCTAGAGACCGGACACTCTTCAGCCCAGGACAGAACTTAGTGGCCGGGAGAGAGGGTGGGAGAACAGGGAGTTGTCACAGTTCCTTCCAGGGCCTCTCTGGGGCCTACTTCCCCATCCTGCATCCACCCAGACAGAACTGCTGTGCTTAGGGTCCCTGCCCCTTTCCCAGGAGGCTTGAGACCCTCAGCCCATGCCTGGTCTCCGGGCACTCAGCCCACTCTGGAAGCCAGGATTATCACTGGGACATTGCATACTCTGGAAACTTCTCTAATGCGAAGGTTTCTTTTGGCACCTATAGGCAAATTAGAATAAGGTGCTTCTTCTTCAAGACCCTTATATCTACCAGAATGCTATCACAATAAATATTTAAATGGCCCATCTTTGGAGTCAAAGTTATAATAAAATACGAAAACACTTAAAAATGATAAAAACATTAACAGTGTGAGCTGTAACATATCCAGTCCGTGCACAATCTTTTGGTGAAAGATCCCGGTGACCCATACTTACAGCTGGGGGCTCTGGTCCCCTCTGGCAGGTGGAAAGGCACTGTGAGCCTACTGCTGGGCAGTCTGGTTCAGAGAAAGTGAGGAGAAGGGTCCCGTTGCCCGTGGCAGGAGGTTGCCCTAAGGACAGAATGAGACGGAAGAGCTAAGACCCTACAAGCTGGTGAGCTGCCACATTTCCTCCAACTTGAATGCCGTCTCCTGTGGTCGGCTGTCCCTCCGGCACCCCTCCCCACGGTCCTATCTCTCACTGGCTCACTGAGCCAGCCTGAAAAGAGTCTGCTTCATCTTACCGTTTATCTCCAATCTAACTCCAAACACATCTTCTCCACAGAGCCCTGAGTACTCACTGGGTCCTCAGGCCTGGGTCCAGCATCATGATTTATGGGTACGGTCTGCCAGGTGCTGGTGGTCCCGGGTAAAGTCACCTGAGCAGGGTGTTCTGAGAGTATATGTGTGAGTGTGACAGTGCACGTGAATGTGTATGACCGAGTGTGTGTGCATATGTCAGCTTGTGTGCTCTGTGTGAATGTGAGCATCACCTGCAGGGCATGCACGTGGGTATTTGTACAAGGTGTGGGCATGTGGCATGGCACTGTATGTGTGTACTTTGTCCCTTAGGGTGTCTGGGGGCAGTCCCGCTACTCTCCTCCCAGTGCTGATGGTGTGTGGCCCCGGTCGCCTTGCTGGACTCCCTGAGAGGTTCTGCTTGGAAGCCTGGACAGCCTCACTCAAGCCTTTACTCGCCCCCAGGATGCAGCTTAGATCGTCTCGTCTCTGCAAGCCTGCGTTTTCATGGATAAAATGGGTAAGATAATACAGTTCCTCCTCATCAGTTTCTGGTGAAGATACATTGAGATCACGTACACGCAGCTTAGCCACAACATGGAGCATAACATGTTTCAGAGCTTTGCATCAGTGGAGGGACGTGGCCCAGTGATGAAACTTTCAAACCCTTACCATCGTCCGTAGCTATGACAACAGCTGAAAATGTGTGGTCCTTCATGTCGTCCCCGTGCAGACTGGCTCGAGTGGAAATGACTCCTGTTTCTGAGTTGATGTCCAGCTGATGGCTTGGATCATGCCATATCTGGTACCTGAAAGGGATAAACCCTCATTCTTAGACAGCTGGGACTATGTGTCCCCCAACCGCCCTCCTAGGGCGTAGTGAGCAACCAGGTGCTGACAAATTTAAGTCTCTCCTCCGGCTTGTTCTCCAGATATGTGGCTGAATTTCAGCCCTGGGTGCCTTGAGACCAAGGCACGCCTCCAGTCCCACCTGATCTTCTGACACTGGAGGCTGTCTGGGTCCTGGGCCCTGTATGATGTAATTTCCTGGCCCACACCAACATCCTTGGACACTTCCACCATCTTCATCGGGGGTACAAAGACAGGGGCCTCATTCACGTCCAGCACATCCACGGTGATGGTGGCCGTGGATGTGGGGAGAGACGCCAAGGGCACCGCGTTCACCACTGTCATGTAGAGGGTGTATCGCTGCGTGGTCTCAAAATCCAAACCCTGAGGAACACAGGAGAAGGTGGTCAGGAGACTTGGCGCAGTAGGCCCCGCTTTGGCTGGCCTGCAAGAGGGTGCAGGCCCTCGCCTGTGGCCGTCTGCCTGTCCCAAGGGAAGGTCACGGCTTGAACGGCAGGGCAGGAGTGGCTGTGATTGAGAGTGCTCCACGCTGCGCTAGCTCTCAGATACCTCACACTGAGCCTAGCAGTGAGGAGGTGGACTCTGGTTAAGATCCTGGCTCTGCCATTTGCTGTGCAGCCCAAGCAGGTGACCTCGCCTCTCTGTGCCTCAGTTTACCCACCATCGAATGTCCATAATTGCAGCACTTCCCTGCTGGAGTTGGTGTGAAAACTGAGTGTTGGGACATAAACCGCCTGTGGCATTTACTGAGATGGTGTGTTCGCTGTTTTTTTATCCTCAGACTTGTGAGGCAGTGGTGGGCCCTGAGCAGAATTATCTGAAAGTGTCCCCAGATGGCTGGGCCAGGGGTCAGCTGGAACTGGACCCCTCTGATGTAGGCCTCGGCCCCAGCAAGGCGTGTGGTTACTCGCAGGGGTCAACTCGCTCCCTGGCACCTTCCAGGTTAGATGCAGGTTGGCAGGTAAACGTCCTGGGACATGCCCTTGGCGGAATTCTTGAATTTTAGCCCTTCTGTCCCCCAGGCTTGTCTAGATGCTGCCTTTGGCCTTCTCCATGTTTATTCTAAGTGTCCCAGTATTCTGGGGCCAAAAGACCACTTTCGGAACAAACAGCAGGAAGTGCCTACGCCCTCCCCAGCCTCCTGAGAAAAAATCCTCAGCCCAGCAGAGGTCCCTAAGGTCCCTAGGGTTCCTCTTCCCCCACGGCTCCTTTCCTCCCTGTGTTCTCGTTCCTCTCTCTCTGATAGTTCATCTTCGGTTTGTCCGGGGAAAGGGGGAGCAGATGTCTCCAGGCCCCTCGGCCCACCCTGAGACCGCTGTGGCTCTGGGGACCGGGCTTCCTGCCTCCAGGGTTGTAAAGCGGCAGCTTCAGGCACAAGTGAAGGCAGACGCGTGGCTCAGACAAGACGATGCCAAGGCATTGCTCTGATGGACCCGGGGGCCCGAGCCCCTCTCTTCTTGGGACCCCTTTTCTCTCCCCGCTTCCTGTCCCACCCATCCCTCCTCAGCACCCCCAGCGTCCCTCCCACTTTGGGGGGAACCCAAATGAAGACACAGGTCCCAGTTTAGCTCTATGGAAACCTCCCAGGTTAGTCTTTTTCTGGGAGAAAACAGCTAATGAGGCAGCACTTCTGAGATCCAGGGTGATGATGTGGCCATTGTGACACGAGGACCAGAGAGGACCACCATCCAGCCGGCAGCCATCACTGGGCAGCTGTGCTCCTGGTGAAGAGTGTGGTGTCTGCTCCCGCCCGGCCCCAGAACCAGCGGGTCACGGCTGCCGTCTCCTCAGAGCTCACACCCACCTTGGCTGTTTTCAAAAGGCCGTCATTGGTCTCAGGGTCTGTGGTGACAGTAAAGAGGCCTGCTCTGTCATTTAGGATGGAGAACACTGCCTTCCGTGCGGGGGAGCCGGGGGGGCGGGTTCTGCATCCTGCACCTTCAGCCTCACTATCCCGGCATTCACCTTGTTCTCAAACGCCTGGCCCACATACTGCAAGAGAAAGACAGAGGCCCTCGTTCCTGGTATCCTCTGTGGGGACTCAGGAAACACACAGTCTGGGCCAGCCTCAAAACCCACTGTTCTTAAGCAAGAGGGGCCACAGTGGAGGGTCTCCTCTTAAGGCAGCGTCTGTTGGCCGAGCCGGGCACCTGCAAAGGCCCTGCTCAGTGCTCTGGACGTGCGTGTAGGCGATGTAGACTCCAACAGCTCGGTGTCTGTTTTCACCCTGTAGCAAAGGGGCTGGAAAGTTGACACCACGTCGCCCAGGCTCCAGCAGCTCGGGTCCCAGGTGGGTACCAGCTGGGGAGGGTGTGTCCCTGGGGCCCAGTGTAGCCGCCCCAGGGCTCTGTTCCTGGGTTGCAGCCAGGGTCTGTGGCCGTCAGCCCTGCAGGCCCAGGAGCCGAGCAAGAAGTCGGGCCTGGAGTGGCTTCTCCAGCCTGTCCCCTGCCCCTCCCTGTCAGGTCCCTTCCCACTCAGTCTCCACAGGGAGCAAGTGTCTCTGTCGAAAGCCTGGCCTGTGTGACTGTTAGGGGAGCTCCTGCTGAAGCACCTGCTGGGCTCAGGGGACACCCTGACTCCAGCCCCTGTGGCCACAGGAACGATGCTGGCTTTACTGCTCAGAACTGTTTGGATGGTGGGGGAATGTCCATAACCGCCTCTCCGTTTCAGTCGTAGGGGATACGGCCTTGTGACCCTCTGCAGTTCCCTGCCTGGAACAGGGCTTGGCCACAAGGTGGTGCTAAGTAAATGTCCCGTGGAGGAAGGGATGTACGGAGTATGCAAATATGCAGGGGGAGACGGAGTCCGGCTGCAGAGGGAGAACTGAGCAGAGGCAGAAAGGTGGGGCAGAGAGAGTGAGGGAGAGGGACAGACAGACAAGGTGGCCTCGGTTCCTAGGGGTTTCCAGATCCTGCTTCCTAGCCCTCGTAAGGCTCAGCTGCACCCCAAACCCCTACTCTGTTTCTTTACGATAAATTCCCTCTATCCTTTACTCATCCAAGTGTGCTGTACCCCATGTTCCTGAAGAATCCTTGAGTTGGTTTCTGCCATCTGGGCCCAGGGGCTCTTCATTCCCACCCAGTGGGATCCAGAGGGCTCCCGGCCAGAGAGGGAGCCCTTTTCCTGGCCTCAGGACAACCACATCTTGCCCGTATCATGGGCTCTGCTTTCCACGCTCATCTGCCCATCCAAGTCACCGCCGGCCGAGAGGGCTGCCCCTGCCCTGGGGACGGTGTGACCCAAAGATGTCCAGAGGGTTCTAAATCGCCACCAGGCTGCGGTCTGAATCATGACACTGCTGCTCACACGGGTCACGAGACATCCGCTGGCTTTGCCAGGACTCACCCCAGCGGGGCTGAAGACGGGAGGGTTGGGGTTGCTCTGGGCGACTGTGATCACGGCTGTTGCTGTGGACCGTAAGCCTTCACCTTGGAGGTCGGCGGCCTGGACTGTCAGGGTGTAGGCAGGAGCGCTCTGCAGACAGGCATGTGGCAGTCAGCCCTGGGGATGTGAGACGCAGGGTTGGGTCCACCCAATGGCACCCAGAGAGTAAATATGGGATGCCAGGGGCAGCAGACCCGGAGGGCCCTCCCCTCCAGGAAAGGACCAGCTTCCAGGAGCACTCAAGGAGAGACTGATACCTCCGCTTTCACCTTGGCTCACCACTCAAAGAGGCAAACTATGCATAAATTAGACCATCCCCTCCCAAAGCTGACTGAGGGGGAAAGTTTCCTGGACTGGGGGGACCCCTTCATTTATGGGTACAATGCTTATGGGGGGTGTGAAGCTAGTATTTTCTATTTTCACCAGAGAATGTGGTCTAATTTGTGGGAAACAGAGTCATTTCATTTTGCTAGTTATGGGAGGAGTCTTGCGGGCCACATTTGTAATTTACCCCAGTGATACCTTAGGGCTTACTATGCCCAGGGCTCAAAGTCAGCCAGCCTGCACCAGCGGGTAAATGCCTTTTCTTTTCCTTTTTCCCCCCAAAGATTTTATTTATTCATTTAAGACAGAGAGATACAGAGAGAGGGAGAGCATGAGCAGGGGGAGAGGGAGAAGCAGGCTCCCCGCTGAGCAAGGAGTCCGATGTGGGACTCCATCCCAGGACCCTGAGATCACGATCTGAGCTGAAGGCAGACGCTCAACTGACTCAGCCACCCAGGTGTCCCTGATAAATGCCTCTTCTGATTGCTTGGTTCATGTTCTAATTGGTCAGGACTCGGTTCTGACTGGTTGGGAACCTGTTCTGATTGATGGGCTGGTGTTTGTTCCGACTACCTGCTGCCCATGCCCTACCAGCTGGGACGAATGTCCATTTAACTGCACCACCGGGAGGCCCCTGCTGCTCCCTGACCTGTGGGTCCAGCCCAGAAGCGAGCACAGAGATGACTCCCGTGTTCCAGTTGATGGTGAACATGTTGGAGTGAGGTACTGAGGGGTCCTGGCTGAGGATGGTGTAAGCAATGTCTGCATTGTAGGTGTTCTCATGGTCATCCGTGTCCGTTGCTGTGATTTGCATCACGGATGTTCCTGCAAGGATACAGGGGAGAAGAGTTGATAATCTCAGCAGCCAACAACCGGCAGGGCAATACAAATTAAGATAGAAATCCAAAACTAAATGTGGTCCTTTTTGAGTTTCTTCACTATACAGGTAATAAAACTTCTTATCAAGGGATATAAGTTCTAGTTCAAATAATTCACCAAATTATTATAATAAATTCCAGGTGATTTGTTTACTTTTTCTTTAACTCTTTAATCATCAAAATTTTTTGCATTTATTTTTGTTTTTAATGATTTATTTATTTAAGTAATCTCTACACCCAATGTGGGGCTCAGCCTCACGACCCCGAGGTTGAGAGTCGCTTTTCTCCACCAACTGAGCCAGCCAGGTACCCCAGGGCATCTTTTGAACATTTTTTATTTCATTTTTTAAGTCTTTATTTAAATTTCAGTTGGTAAACATACAGTGTAGTACTAATTTCAGGTGTACAGTATAGTGATTCGTCACTTCCATACCTCAGCTGGTGCTCATCAGGACAGGTGCTCTGCTTCATCCCGCTCACCTGTTTCCCCCCCTCCCCTCTGGTGACCATCAGGGTGTTCTCTAGAGTGAAGAATCTGTTTCTTGGTTTGCCTCTCTCTCTCCCTTTCTTTCTCTTTCGGGCATCTTCTGACATGACTGTCACTGTGGGATCCTTGTCCCTCATTAACATGGGGCTTCAGGGTGCTGAGATTCTATCAGGTGCTCAAGGGGAGGGTGAGGTGCCTGTTTCATATCTCATCTTTCCAGGTGTTCTCCTGTTCTCAGGCCTCTTTGTCCTTCTTCCTCCCCTGCCTTTGTCAGGGGAGTACTTCCTGTCTGGACACTGGCCTCACATCGGAGCTGGAGCCAAGCCCACAAGCCAGATGGAGAGACGTGTGAGGTGGTGGGCAGAGGTGGGTGGGGGCCGTGCTCCCTGGTTGCTTGAACCAAGCTTCTGGAATTTGGTCCACTGAGATAACCTGAAACACATGTGTAGCTCACGTGGGTGATCAGGGGACGGCTGGTGCTGGTTGGTGAGCGTGGGTTGTCGTAGGGCCAAAGGCAGCACGAAGATAGAAAAGAAAGAGAAAAAGAGGAAGAAAGCATTAGTGGCTGCTAGTGGTGGGCCAGGAGGGAGAAGAAAGCATCCATCACAAGGTCCTTTCACATGAAATACTCTGTGACTTTTGGTTTCATTTATCTTCAGTCCCAGAGAATGAGGACCTCAACATCCATTCCCAAAATGTCGGGTTGGAAGCCGTGGGCACCTGGGCCTGTTGGTGCTGCCTACGATCATTGTACAGTCATGTCCGGAGGTCTGATAACTCCTCAATCAGTAAGTAAGAGCCAGTTGAAACCAGAGTGTCCCTTGGATCAAGAATAATCAGTCTGGTTCTCGTTTGCCGGACCACGAATTGGGAAATATGTAGGGCATTCATCGGGGAGAAACGCAAGCTGACACAGAAAAGGGGTGTAGAGGAAGCTATGAAATGAGAATGGCCACATGGTGGAGAAGGATCTGTCCAGGCATCAGTTAGAGGGAAGCAGACACCAGCAAATGCAGACAGGACCTAGAGACAGAAGTGAGGCAGCCAGCGGGCGTCACCTGGACAGTGGAGACCCGGTGACCCCTGCACTTGGGCCCAAAGGACCTCCTTGCTTTATGGCCCTTCTTGGCCCCTCTTTGTAGGATCCTCTCCATGTGTAGCCCTCCCCAGTCCCAACTCTCTTGAGCAAGCCTGAGAGAGTCTCTGTTGCTTGAACCCACCCCCCCCCAAAATCTTTGCAGTCCTTGATCTGTCCCTTCTAATCTCAAAGTGGAAGGCTTCTGTGCACTGGAACCCAGGGTGTGGATTCATAATAAGATCTCTGCTGTTTATACTTCAGTTTCCCAGAGTCTTTATATTTTCCCTGATGTTACTGTCATGTGTCACTAAAACCCTCCATTGTTCTAATTAACCTGGCTGGGCTCTTTCCATCACAGACCCCTCAAAGACCGCCTGGGTGAATTCGGGCCTGTTGTCATTCTTGTCTGTCACTGTGATCACTGTCTCCATCGGGTCCTCCACAGAGTTCCCATTTGAAGACACAGCATGAAGGAGAAGCTGAAAAGCAATGCAGGTGCAGCAGAGGCATGTGGGGCCACCGAGCCTGTGGGCACCTGTCCAACAAAAGGCCGGTTGCAGTGAGAGCCCTCCCGCACCTTCATCTTAGCATTTCAATGCCTGGGAGTCGGAGAAAGCAGCACTCACTCCAACCTTGGGGATGTCACTAAGGGTTGCATCTGTGTCTGCTCAGGTTTTCCTCATGTGATGCTCAGGGCAGAGTGCTAGCCGTCATCCGACCCATCCTCTCCCTTTTCCAAGGGAAGTGCCTCAGCTGGGCTTCCCGTGCAGCCGGGTGGAACCACGGGGACTCAGGGTTTGATTTCTGCAGCTTGAGAGGGGTATCGGCACCTAGCTCCCTTGCACGCAGTGACCTGAGACCATGCGAGAGAGTGAGGGCAAGGCTGAAGTCACGGTGGGCACCCTACACTGCCATTTTCACAGCACAGGTCAGCCCTGTTCTGTGAAGGTGGGACTGCAGCAGGGGCTGGATAATAGGAGGTGGATTTGGGGGCGGGGTACTCTTGGAGGCTGGTGGCCACCCTGGGAGTGGGGCTTGTTGCCGAAGGGGAGGAAGAAGGAACGGACAGACCTCTCCTCATCTTGAATTGGTCAGCCTCCCAGGGGGAGTTCCGGGTCAGTTCTGGGGGGACATGGAGGAGGGAATCACCTGGCAGTGTGTGGGTTCTCCTCCCACTGTATTTCAGTGTGAGCTCCTTGGCAGCATTACCCCCACTCTGCCCCTTCTGCAACGGCTCATGCTGAAGTCCCAGAACATTGAGGGTTCGGGACATTTTTCAGCATTACGCTGTATAGGGAAGAGAATCATCCCCTCTCCTCTTCCCACAAGGAAAGAAAGACCCCAATATGCCCCTTCCTTTACAAAAGCATACAGGACTAGAGACAATAGTAATGAATATTAATTAACTGAAATCCACATAGTTTATGTAGAGACTCTTTACAAGCCTGGCATGGGGGGAGGGACAGAAGGGTCACTGTTCCAGGTCATGGGGTTTGGTGCCCCCCCACATGGCCCACACTCCTTTTGGTATCTCCTGGAGGGGTTGGGGTTTGGAATTTAGCCTCCACGAAGCCATTCTAGCAAGAACTGGAATGAGATATGCTTCCCTCAGAAGCAGGGAGGTAACTCCTGCAGGAGCGAAGTGATAGTGGCTCTCGTTTGTTGTGCTTCCTAGGACCACCATTGCCTCCTCTCTGCATTGGAAGTGAGTTCTGGTTGTAAGAAAAGCTGTCAGCACCCTCACTTGCCCAGTAGTGGATGCAACATACTTACTTTGTGTTCACTTCCAGTCTTGCTACCTCCTACCTGCTGTGTCCATGGGAATTCTGTGCCCCTGGGGCACTGTAGACCTTATATGTGAGTGGGTATAGCCAGCAATGGCTGATGCTGTGCATATCCACCCTGCTCCATTGTCCCTTCAGACTTCACTTACCATCCGTAAGTTTGAAGATAAAATAATTATGAATTTCAAGATTGCCGCAGCTGTGCATTAAACCATACATAGGGTTTGCATTTATGCACTAATGCATTAAACCGCCAGGGGCCCAGGCATGAGCAAAGTGTGCTGCAGAAACTGCTGAGCTTGGGCTTTGTGAACACTGTGTGTGGATGGGGCAGTGAGGAGGCTCAGAGACTCCCTTATGGTGCATCCATTTCCTACAGATGCCGAGCCCAGAGTCTGTTCTCAGCAAGGGACGGATGAGGGTCTTGTTTCACAGGTTATTGTCAGTATTGCCTGCCTGTGTTGAGAGGTTCTGAGCTGCCCAGGCTCAGTGGGAAGGGAGATGGACCCCCCACTTTTCACCCCAGACCTCACACCTCCTTCCCAGGGTAGCTGAGTCTGTGCAGAGAAAGCTGTGGTGCCTGACCAGTCTCTGAATCTGGCTCCCTGGCCCCTTCCCTCTGTCTGTCCTCCCTTGTGCAGCACTAAGGCCCTTGAAGACATGGCCATTGAAAGTTGTGCGAGAACAACAAAGAGGGAGGGGCTTGTGTTCTCAGCATCTTTGTGCCAGGTTATGCCTGTGCTTATTCAACTTCGAACATCCAACCAAAGGCTGGAGTTATCATTCCCATTCTCTGGATGATAAAACAGGCACACAGAGGTTGAGGATCTTGCCCTGTGTCACCAACTGGTGAGAGCAGAGCTGAGAATCGAACCCACTGCAGTCTGATATGGATTCCATATGCTGTGCACCATGAGATGCCAACCCTGATGGGAAAGCAAGGAGAGAGAGAGAGAGAGAGAGGGAATCTGCCCCAGACGGAGCCAGGCACACCGATGGGCACACGCACATGTCCGCCCCTGGTGTTCACCTCTGAGGCTGCAGATGTGGGAGGGAAACTGGAGAGGAGCCAGCAGAAGCTAGAGGAGGAGGGTGGCAGGAGAGGGCAGGGGTCTATTAGGGGAAAACACCACACTTCCCAAGAGACCAAAGAATTCCCTTCCCGGATGAGTCTGTGTCAAATCCTAGATTTCTCTCCCTGGCCCAGAAATTGATTCTTCAGTGCTCTAACTAGATTCGCTCCTGACTTACACCTTTCCAGGGGTTCAGTTTTCCTGTGGAGACCTGGACCAAGCGTAGGAGTTCTCTGGCCCTCCTGGACCCTTCTGCTTTCAGTGATAAGGGGGGGAATGAGGTGCATGATATGGACTTCAGATTCGCATGAACACAAAATTTATTAGAACAGGAGGCCAAAAAACCATGGAGGAGATTGCTGTTGACATCCCCAGAGCACTTAAGGAACCTTCCCCTGTTTGGATACTTCATCTCTTGTCCTGAAAGTAGAGAATTTCTTTAACCAGTTATATGTGCTCTCATTATATTCTTGGGGAGTGTAAGGGCTCAGTAGGCTACCTCTGAACCTCCCTCAGAGCTGGGGTCTGGAGTGTGTGGTGGCTACATTTGTTCTCTGGTAGTGGAGATGCAATTTATTGGTAAAGCCTCTGTGTGTGTCCTCTGGTGTGTGATGAGACATGATCTCCATGTAAAGCCTCGCCCACACTCCCTGCAAACGTAGGGCTTCTCCCCTGTGTGCATCCTCTGGTGTCTGATGAGACATGATCTCCATGTAAAGCCTCGCCCACACTCCCTGCAAACGTAGGGCTTCTCCCCTGTGTGCATCCTCTGGTGTCTGATGAGACATGATCTCCATGTAAAGCCCCGCCCACACTCCCTGCAAACGTAGGGCTTCTCCCCCGTGTGTGCCCTCTGGTGTGTAATAAGGACTGACTTATGACCGAACTCTCTCCTCAAGTCCTTGCAAACAGAGGGCTTCTCCTCTTTGTGTGTTCTCTGGTGTCTGCTGAGATGTGACCTATCATTGAAGCCTTGCCCACAGCCTCTATATTTGACTCTTATAATTCTTGACATTCCTACCCCCATGAATAATTTTCCTGTCTCCTCTGGATTCAATTTCTGGCCTGTGCTGGGCTCTTCCTCCACCATTCCCTCACACACTGCAGAACTCCCCGTTTGTCCTTTGGATGGGGTGGAAAAGGCCCTTGAAATTCTTCTCTGCCTTACACTTTTAAGCAAAGGTTTGAAACTTTCTTTGACCTCTTGGCCTTTAGCTTTGTCACTCCAGCTCTGCGGATCAGAATATTGCTGCCGCTGCTGATTCTGATCGCCTGGGCAGGGATCCTCTGGTTGGAAATATTCTCTTGCAGATATTTGTGGGAAGATCTGAGAAGGATGATTGCGTTCCAAATGTTGGCTGAGGAATTTCTGACTGGAGAAGGCCAGAGAGCAGGAAGGACATGGATGTATCTCTGGCTTTGATTCTGCTGAAAGAGGAAATTTTTGGTCAGGAAGATGTTCACACCACTGCCTGTGTTGTATGCATTGTCTCCTGGTGAGGCCGCCCCAGTACTCATTTTTATTGTTTTGACAGTGCAAACTCTGTCTCCCGCCGAGTGTTCCTTCACTTTTCCATTCCATTTTTACTCACTACATCTCCCTCATAAATCCAGAAAGCCCGTATCAAGGGCCTTTTCTATGTATCGCCCAGACTAGGTAACTTCAAGTGGCATCTGAGGCAGCTCCCCTCCTTTTACAGATGGAAGGACAGTGACCTTTCCCCACATACAAGTGCCTTCTAAGTCGTATGACTCTGTGACAGTGTCTTTAGTGATCTGCTTCCTTTGAGAGGCTACAACTCTCTTGATGACTTGGATAGAATGTGTGAGTAAACATGAACTTGAGTCTCCCCGTTTAAAAAGACATATTTAACTGAGGACCAATATGTGTCTGGATCTCTATTAGAAAGTGGGACCTAGATTGGACGACACAGGGGCGCACGTCTCCTGGACTAAAGAGCTCTGGTTCCTGCTGCCCTAACTAGGTTATAAATTGCTTCTCTTTTAGTTTTCCACAAATCGTAACATAAACATATGCCCTTCATACTGTATTTATATCATTCAGTCTTAGGCCATTTCCAATACAATAGGAAGTCCTGTTGCAAAATATTTTCCCAACCAATTATGGGGATACATATCACACCCCCAGTTGCCATCCATCTTCTGCCAATATGCTGTCTTCTTTCACTTAGAGATGATGTAATCTTGGAGGGGATTCCCCACTGTAGTCTTTCTCCAAAATTAACCAAAGCATCATCTTAAAACAGAAAACATGTCACTCTCCAGTTGAAAACTGCCCAGTTGTTCCATCTCAGTCAGGAAAACCCCCAGGGTGTCAGCGTGGACCACAGGCTCTAGGGCATCTACGTATCTGTCTGACTTCCATTCTTACACTCTGCTTCCTGCATCCGAGTGGGTTCTCAGCCACACACCACTCACACCTCTCTTGTGCCTCGGGGCAACTGTCCTCGCGGGTCCCCTCTGCCTGGAATCCTTTGCTCACAGGTGTTTGCTCATCTCAAATGTTATCTCCTGAGAGAGCCCTTCCTTGTCCAAGCTCTGTTACACCCCACCTTTCCCTCACATTGTTCCCCAGACACTTTCTGAGGACTAGTTTTACTTTCAAAGCACTAATTGCTGTGTGATGTTATGCACACGCATTCATACGTATGTGTGTGTTTCCCTCATTCATTCAGTCATCAGCTGCTGAAGAGCAGTGATTCTGA